GTTTGCTTTTATAGAAGAGGTTTGGTTTGCTTTTATAGAAGAATGGTCATTGTCTTCCCCCCCACCCCCGGCTCAGCTAGCTGAGATTTTATTTTTAAAAAAAAAAAAAAAAAAAAGCAATTGTTTTGCAGCTGGAGGCATGGGCAAGAGGGGTCCCCAGGCAGTACACTCCCTGTGGGTGGGCTGAGGGCTAGGACTGAGCCTCGGGTGGGTCTCCTGTTCCCTGTGCTCCCCTGCACAGGGGCCTCCCTCCCAGGCTCTGGGGCAGCTTCAGGAGGGGCAACCTGGGAGGAGCTGTTGCAGCTGTTCACTTGGGCAGGACGTCAGAGGACTCAGACACCAGCCTCCCATTGTGAGTCTCAATCTTCTTCACAACCACGACCTTGGTGTAGCTGGTGTAGCTGAAGGAGCGAGGGCTCATGCCAGAGTCAAAGCTGGAGCCCGGGCCGTAGCTGAGGCCGGGGCTTGTAAAGCCCATATAGGCAGAGCTCTGACCACCTGCATACCCGGCGGTGGTCTTCGTATGGATACTCATGTTCTGCATCCCGGACTCCAGCCAGCTCTCCTCACCCTCCAGTAGCTTGCGGTAGGTGGTGATCTCGATGTCCAGGGCCAGTTTGACGTTCATCAGCTCGTGGTACTCATGGAGCTGCCATGCCATGTCCTGCTTGGCCCACTGCAGGTTGGTCTCCAGCTCCTGCTGCTTGGCACGAGCATCCTTGAGTGCCAGCTCCCTGCGATGCTCAGCCTCAGCAATGGCGGTCTCCAGGGAAGCCCTCTGGCCTTTGATGCCCTCAATCTCAGCCTGGAGCTGGCTGATGTTCCAGTTCATCTCGGAGATCTCTGTCTTTGTAGCGGCAGGTCATCCCTGTGCTTCCCAGCCAGCATCTGCAGCTCCTCATACTTGATCTGATATATGCTCTCCGCCTCAGCCCGGCTGCGATTGGCGATCTCCTCATACTGCGCCTTGACCTCAGTGATGATGCTGTCCATGTCCATGGAGCAGCACCACAGACATGTCAGAGATCTGGACTGCAGCTCTCGGATCTCCTCTTCATATAGCTGCCTGAGGAAGTTGATCTCGTCAGTCAGGCCTTCCAGGCGAGACTCCAGCTCTACCTTGTTCATCCACATCCTTCTTGATGAGGACAAATTCATTCTCCATCTCTGTATGCTTATTGATTTCATCCTCATACTTGTTCTTGAAGTCTTCCACCAGCCCCTGCATGTTGCCAAGCTCCACCTCCAGCTTCAGCTTCTCCTGGCCCAGAGTCTCCAGCTGCCACCTGAGGTTGTTGATGTAGCTCTCAAACATGTTGTCCATGTTGCTCCTAGCCGTTTTCTGCTGCTGCAGGAGGCTCCACTTGGTCTCCAGCATCTTGTTCTGCTGCATAGCCTGCACCCAGGCCACCCCGGAAGCTGCTGCTGCCCACTCGGGAGAAGCTCAAGGAGCTGATGCAGGCACCGGGCCCACTCATGTAGGAGTGGCTGCTGAAGGCCCAGGGGCCAGAGGTGGACACCTTGTAGGACTTCTGGGTCACCCTGATGGATATGGTGGAGGCAGGAGTTGAAGCAGACAGGCTGAACCAGGGAGAGATTCCAGAAGGAGCGGAGAAGCTGCTTCTTCAGTCATTGTCTTAAGTGGGTGTTATGAGTTGAATTTTGTCTCCAAAAAATGATATGTTGAAGTTCTAACCCCTAGCACCTCAGAATGTGATTCTATCTGGAAATAGGGTCATTGCAGATATAATTATTTAAGATGAGGTCATACTGAAGCAGGGTGGGCCCGTAATCCAATACAACTGGTGTCCTTTGTGATAAGTTGGTCATGGGAAGACAGAGAGACAGAGAGACACAGGGAGAATACCATGTAAAGAAGCAGACAGGGACTGGAAACATGGATATACAAACCAAGGAACACTAAGGATTGCTGATTGTTACCAGAAGCCAGGAAAGAAACAGGGAACAGATTCTCCCTCAGAGCCTTCAGAAAGAAACAACCGTCAAACACCTCAATTTCAAACTTCTAGGCTCCACAACTGTAAGAGAGTAAGTTCCTATTGTTTTAGGCCACCCCATTTGTGATACTTGGTTATGGCAGCTGTAGGAAGCTGATAACGGTGGCATTCCCTCCCAAAGGAACTCCTGGGAGGGGGAACTGTGTGTGAGTGGTTTATTAGGAAAGTGCCCCCGAAGAGAACATGACAAGCAGCTGAACATGGATATGGAGGAAGTCTTGCCAGGCTGCACTCTCAACCTAAAGTCTGGCAGAGGGAAGGCTTCAGCCAAACCTGGAGAGGAACTCTGGAGTGTAAAATATACCTCAGAGTTGTCCCAAACAGAAGCCAAGGAGAAGGGTTTATGTATCCCTCTTGCTGGTCCACCATTAGTCAAGATGAAACTGCCAGTTACTTCCTGTTCTTTGCACCTGGGGCGAAGTGGTCCCAATAGCCCTAGAGCAGCCCTCCAAAGAGGAGGAGCGGGTGCTGCTCATGCAAATGGAAAGCACACAGAGCTGGAGGTGCTCACAGAAAGAGCACAAAGGGTTCTGAGAGGATCTGGGCAGAGGACCAACGTTGTTCACACATCCATTTTTCTTCAGGGGCTTCAATGTGTTACCTTTACTGTTTACATGTGTTACAGATTACATATATGATTTCTCAAAAACGAATTGAATTTGGTGCACCAGTTAAGTTCAGTGACCAGAATGCTTCCAGTGTAAAAGATGCCTATATTGAATGTACAGCCTACCCAGATAAAAATTTTACCCTTAAACAACTTGAGAAAGATGTCGGCATGCAAGTAATCCCTCAAATAAAAGACATAAGCACTCAGACAGAATGGTAAGTATGTGATGGGTGTATGTAATTTTAGAGCCAATTACAGTCGAATCTAGGAACTTCCGTGATTATTTTGAGAGCTTTATAATAAATAGAAGTGGATTAACAATGATGACACATAGATCTCCACAGAGTAATTCAATTCAGGAAGATCTAATTATATTCAATAATGCCTTTAAAAATCATAACAGGAAAATAAGATACACGTATAGGAGACTGAAAAGACTGGGGTGGGAAAATGAGTGATGCTGTTAATCATTACAGTGTGGTCATCTCACCTGGCATATTACCATTGCCCCTCACTGCTCTGTTCTACCACCTAAGTCATAATTCTTAAACATTAAATCAGATGGAGTTAATTCATTGTCTAGGTTTCTTCTTTGGCTTCCATCACTTAAAAAATACATCCATCCAGAGCCCTTAGGATGGCATATGAGGTTCTCCTTCCTCTGTGACGAGGCACTGTCTGCCTCTCCAGCCCCGTCGTCCCTTGTTCCTAAACAAGCCGTCTGTGTGCCAGCCCTATGAGCTGCTTCCAGTTCCCAGAATATCTGCGGTTCCACCTCTTTCTGCCTTTGCCCATGCTTGAATCTTCCTCCTCTCAGTAAGTGGTAAGGATATTCTTCTATTTACTCAGACCAAAAGCCTTGGATCTTGTTGGATCTATCTTCAAAATGCACCCACTGATATTACCTTAGACCATTCATCATCATCTCCTGCTTGGATTACTGTAATTCCTTCTAAGTGGGCTTCCTCTATCCATCTTTTCTCTCCTGCCTTCAGTTCTCCATAGAGTAGCCCTAGTAATCCTGTTAAAATGCAAGTCAGATCATGTCACTGACCTAAACTTTCCAATGGCCTGTCATCCCAAAGGAACCTACAAGGCTTCATATGATCTAGATCCCTTTACTTCTCTGCCCTAATTTCCCACAGTTCTCCCTCCTCATCCATCCAACCACACTGGCTTCCTCATTCCTTCATTCACCAAGCACACTCATACCTAATGTGTTTAAGCTTACAAGTCCTTTACATAGAATGCTCTTCCCTTGGGTTTTTTCCTTCCTTCATTCAGAACTCTGCTTAAATGAGGCATTCCTGACACTCCTGTATAAAAGCAACAACTCCATTACTATCTACCCCTTTACTCTATTTTTCCCCATTTTGTTATAATCACTTGATGTGTATTTTTTATCATCTTTCTTCTCCTCACTCTGCACTTGGAACTTAAGCTCTATCAGATATAAACTTTTAATATTTTGTTTACTGCTATGTTCCCATTCCTAGGACAGTTCCTGGTATATATTTATTAAATGGAGGGGAAAAAGGAATGGAGGAGGGAAAAGAGGAAGAGAAGAACGTACATAAGGAAGAATGTACAGAATGATAACAGATTTGAATCCAGTGTTAAGTAAAGAGCTATGAAAATACACAGTGAGACAGGTCATGACCAGGAGAATCAGGGATCAGCAATATAGAGAATGCTTTTCAGATGTGTGTGAACCAACAGGTTAAAAACCATGGAAGTGCAATGTTAAAGTAAGGGCACATATATACAGACTCCAAAGGTTGGGCCAAGAAAGGGGTCAGAAACAAGAGATGCAGATGAACAGACAGGCCAAAACAAGAGGAGATAAAGAGAACACAAGAATCAGTAGTCAAATCCTGGCAGGGAAGGACGACATCAGATATCCATAAATATCAAGAAGTGAGGGCAAGAGAGGAAGGAGAGAGGTGACATATTAGTACCAAAGGAACTTGAATTTTGAGGCAAATATCTAAGTCAAGCCAGCCAGGGATTTATTCTGTGTTCCTTCTAGGGTATAGACAAGTCCCAAGAATGAGTCAGCCAGCATAGACTCAATAGGTAGACTCAGAATACAGACCAATAATAATAATAGTGGCCGTGTTCTTACATAGGAGTAAACAGATGAAAATAAGGGCAGGTCTTGAACCACAAAATGAAAAAATAAAAATTAAATTTAAAAAAGACTTAAAAGGAACTCAAATCATTTAAACCTAGATGACTGGGGGAAGCTGGTACCATGCACTACAAACAGGAAATTAGGAAGGGTGGCTGGTATGAGGTAGAGAAGGTAGATATGTGATTATATTGGAGGGAATCAAGAAAAATCAAAGATGTGGTTCAAAGAATAATGATGGTAAAAGCAAATGCCTAGTGTTCCCACCACATACCAGGCATTCTTCTAAGTGCTTTACACATATCAACTCAGTCCTTATAACTGCTTTCTGAGGTAGGCACTATCCCCATTTTACAAATAGAGAAACTGAGGCAAAGAGAGGTTAAATATGAAAGCCCAACGTTTCGGGCATAATTTAAACCTGAAGCAATAATGAATAGTTTTGCTGAAAAACAACAAAACAAATTATATTTAGAAAGTAAGAGTGACTCTTAGTCATGTTGCTACTTTGACAGAACCACCAAGCAACATATCATTTTCTAAAATTTAACCCTATCTAGAGAGTGGAAATTAAAAGGTAAAGCTGAGATTTGAACCCAAGTCTCTCCGGTTCCAATACTAATAATATTCTTTCTTTCTACCACTCTGCCTTCTGCTATGGATACTGACCTAAACAAGGGAAAAAAATGAATTATTCTAGTAAATATACTCAAAACTCTCTCTACCCCTTTGTCTGATTACTCTCCATTTAATATATTACCTCTCACAGAGACATTCTGCATTGTGCTGACATTTGTTCAACAAACACAAACTATATAATATTTTGTTGAGCACTTAAAATGTGCTAGGCACTGTTTTTAAAGTTTTGCATGTATCAACACATCCAATTCTTACAATGACCCTATGGGCTAGCTACTTTAATAATTTCATTTAGAGATGAGAAAACAGGCACAGAAGGTTAGATAATTAGCTCAGGGGTCACATAGCTAGCAAATGATAGAAGCAGGCTTCAAAGCCGGGCAGCCAATCACCAGAGTCCACACTCTTAATGATTGTGCCATGTGACTTCCAAGCCCCATAGCTAAGAACAAGAGCTCACCCGGTTGAGTACATGAGACTGATAATAAAGCCCAGAGGTACAATGCCATATGGCATGTACACAGACAGAAGCCACTAAGAGCATACTAAAATGGAGCGAGCCTTCCTGCCACCATCACTGCTAAAATGTCTTATTCCTACTTTTGTATGTTTACAGCAGAGTTTCTCAACCTCAACACAATTGACATTTGGGGCTGGATAATTCTCTTTGAGGGAAGGCTGTCTTGTGCTTTGTAGGGTGTTTAAGAGCATCCCTGGGCTCTACCCACTAGACAACAGTAGCACATCTAGGTTGTGACAACCAAAAACATTTCTAGACATTGCCAAATGTCCCACAAGGAGGTGAGGTGCACACTGACTTAATGAAATGAAGACAGAGCGAACGATAAAGATGGCAAAATGTTCATAATTGATGAATCAGGGTGAAGGGTGTATGGAAATTCCTTATACCCTTCTTACAACTTTTCTAAACATTTGAAATGATTTCTAAATAAAATTTTGCAAAAATAAGATCTTGTTGATTACGTTGGAAAGAAATTCATGTAGACTTTGAATGGTGGTTAATATCAGTTGTCAAGGATAAAGAAAAAATTCAATGTGTAGAATTTAAATATAAAATAGCATCCTAACTTATTGTCACAGAGACGCACTTTTGAACTTTCATGACCCATATGTGCTTTCCTTTGACCTAATCTTTGATACTGAATTTTCTTTTAATATACTAGGACATATCCCAAAAATGCTACCATACAATATTATCCAAGAGAATTCTCAGAAGAAGAAAAAGAGACACTCAAACAGTCAAGGCCTTTGGTTGATTTTCTTAACAATGCATCCATAAGGTAAAAACTTGCATATTAAATTTTAAAAATAAAACATAAAATGTATATGTTTACAAAGAATAACAGGTCTAAATAAACAATTCCACATATGGTGTCTAGATAAGAAGTATGAAGACAGTTGTCAGGTATGACATATTCTACAGATTCTCAATATTTCTTTCCTTTCTATTGCTAAGCAACATCTTAGCCCTCCCAAGCTAAGGTCACATCAAACAGTGTGAACAGTTGAGTGTGTGAGGATGTTTTCCTAATTGCAAATTAACAATTACTTGTATTTACCATGGTTACTTTTATGTAAGTCTTTTTCTCCACTCCTCACTCCTCTTCTTCATTAACTTTTTACTTTTTTTTTTTTTTGAGACAGAGTCTTGCTCTGTCACCTAGGCTGGAGTACAGTGGCACGATCTTGGCTCACTGCAACCTCCGCCTCCTGGGTTCAAACAATTCTCCTGCTTCAGCTGCCCAAGCAGCTGGGACCACAGGCGCATACCACCGTGCCTAGCTAATTTTTTGTATTTTTAGTAGAGACAGGGTTTCACCATATTGGTCAGGCTGGTCTTGAACTCCTGACCTCAGGCGATCCACCCGCCTTGTCCTCCCAAAGTGGGTAGGATTACAGGTGTGAGCAACTGCACTGGGCCCTTCACTAACTTTTATAGGTTGAGGAGAATGCTGTGGATGTCATTATGATAATAAGTATTTGCAAAAATATCTTTTTAGATGAGAACCTGAATTTAATTCAAGTGTCTTTTTGAACATTTCACTCTTATCACCAATTCCTGTGTTCCTGCCCTCTTACTGGCTTTGAAAGAGAAGTATCTTCAAAATGCTCCCTAAGCTACTACTGGGACCCTGGGTAGAGTTCTGGGGCTTCTAAACCAGAGAAACAGCTTGACAAATTCTCATCAAGCTAACACTAGAGTTTAGAGAAGTGGATCCAATGGAGGACATGTCTGCAAGTTATACTCAGTAGGCTGGTTTCCATTTCTTTCCAAAATTAACAATGTGGTAGTCAACTTCATATATAGCCCAAGTTAAGCTTTTTTATTTTTAAGAAACGTCATTGGTTCTTTCAGACTGGATTAGATATCCTGAAAATTCAAACAACTTTCAAAGTTGTTACCTATACCTAGAGAGACTCTGGCTCAAAAATTTAATTAATGATTCAGAGAGAACGTTATTTGCCACTCACTCACAGGAAGCATGCTATAATTTTTCCTATATGGGCAATGAGATAGAAACATGAAAACCTGAGTTTTTCCCCCCATATCAAAATTAAGTAGTCATTACAGTTTTTTCTGTAGGAATATTAAAAATAAGAAGTTTGTTTACATATAATCAATATCCAGAGAAAACTAGATCTTGAGGAAATAAAAAGAATTGCTCAAAATAACATTGTATATTAGCTTTAGACCTGGGCTTTTATTCTTCCCTTTCAATTGCCATGCTTATAAAGAAAAGAATAGTGGATAGCTTTATAATTCCCTTCTTGAGATGTGAGAAGAAGAAGCCAGATCTATAGGAAGAAAGAGGAAAATTGGCACAGGAATTATAATAGCATTGGCCAAGAGTAAATAAGCAACCCATGTTTATATCACTGCACACTAATTTCCAGCTTTAAAACTGCTTAAGGTTTATTCAAAAGTTTTTAATTAGTATAAACCTGATTTTGTTCTGGAAGAAAGCCCTTTTAGAAATGAGCAGTTTCTTTCTCATAGAATTTTATCTAAAACAAACTTAAGGGAAGCATTATTTGCTTAAAAAAAAAAAAAGGCAATGACATCAGATGAGAGAGCGGAACTTCAGGGGGATTCACAAACAACTAAGAAAGCTTCCTTTCGGGGTTAAAATTCCTAGACCACAGTTTTGCCAACCTCCAATTCATTACCCTCAGGAGCCACATAGTTCCAGGAAAGCAAGAAACCAGAAACCAGAAGAAAAGTCCTGTCTTTAATTCTTCCTTGTGAATTACTTCCCCATTCTGGCTGAGGAGGAAAAATCAGGAAACCAGAGAGAAAGTCACATCTTTAATTTCTCTCCTGAGAATTCCTTTCTCATTTGGGCTTCATCAGAAAGAAATATGATTTGGAAAATGCTTCTACTGGAAACTGTGTTTAAGCCTTGACAGTCTTCTACACAGGGTTATTCAGTGTTCAATGTGCTTATGAATCACCTGAGGACTCTTGTTAAAATGCAGGTTCTGACTCAGTAAGTCCGGGGTGGAGCCTGTGACTCTGCATTTCTAACAGCCCCAGGTCATGTTGATGGTCCTTGGACCACACTTTAAGTGGCCAGGTCTTAGGAAAGGTGTCTATTTTGAAAGATGAAATACAAGAAGAATTTAACCAAGGGAGAACTCAATTAGGCAGTGACAATGTAATGATCAATGACAGGGGCATAAAATGGTACCCTTTTTTATATTTTGGAAGTATCTATGTTTACTGTTTAACTATATAAAGGGATTTTTCTTATTTTAAGAAATTCTTAATTGAGAACCACTTTTTCAGCTTATCACACCTATATAAAACCAAGAAATTTACAGTTTTGATCATTAGGGTAAAACCTTGGGTGGCATTCTAATTGTGGGAGGGCTCTAATCAACTTTCGGAGTATACAGAGCTTTCAGACCTAAGCATAAAAAGGGATAATAACCATCATAGTAACTATTTTAAGACAGGAGCCTGTCAAACCAAGGTTCCTAGACTACTGTTAACAAATGATCCTAGCACTCAGATGGTATCTTAAAGGAGCAATATTAGTATTTTTAGCAGGATAACTTTTCATTTTGGGAACTGTCTCATGCATTGCAGGAGGTTTGGTAATGTAATTAAACACAGTAGCACCTCCCAGGCATTGTGACAACTGAAACTATACACACACATACACACACACACACACACACACACACACACACACACATATACACACATACACACACACACAAACACAAACTTTTCTAAACTCCAAATCTTCCCTTGTTCAGAATCTCTTATTTGTTGTTTTGAATTACATATGTATTAGGACTATCCTATTTAGGATAAGTGATCATTTAGTATAGAACATGCCTAAGAAAATTGCTATTTGTGACAGTTGGGGCTTTCTAGGAAACAAATGACATCACATTAGAGGCAGAGGTTTACTGAGGATTACACCATGAAAAATAAAGGAGTGGGAGACAGGACCGGGAAAGCAGAGCATCAGACAGATTCTCAGCCTACCCAGTGGGAGCTCCAGAGCAAAGATGCCTGCTGTGGGAGTGCTGCACAAGGAGGACTGGCCAGGACCGGCCATCCCTGCAGCTCAGGCATTGGCCTGGAAAGAGTGCAGCCTTGGCTTGGAAACTAAGGCAGATCATGAATTTGCTAGAAGTTCCGAGTAACATGCCATCATAACTTTTTTTCTCTTAAGTCATTTATTTCACGAAGTTAATCATTATTACCAAATATAATTGAGAATTATTATTTTTATTCAGTATAAATGAAGGTAGGAGGAGTTGCTAAGATAGTCACATCATTGGATACTAAAAGCCAATATCTTAATTGCTTTTTTATTTTTACAAATTAGTGTTGAAATAGCCCTGCAGCAAAATGAAATCATGAACACATTTATTGATGATTGGAAATACCTCGCAGAAGAAGAAGGCACATTTGGGGACAAGACTGATACCCACCTGAAAGAATACCAGTCCTTTACCGACCTTCACAGCCCAACAGAGAAAATGATTACCTGTATCTCATGGCATCCAACTATCTATGGTGAGATGGAAATGATGGGGATTCCTGTTTGTGATAACATTGAAATTGTCTGTTGCAGCCCAGTGCGGTGGCTCAAGCCTGCACTTTGGGAGGTCAAGGCAGGTGGATCACAAGGTCAGGAGTTCAAGACCAACCTGACCAACATGGTGAAACTTCATCTCTACTAAAAAGATAAAAATTAGCCAGGCATGGTGCTGCACGCCTGTGATCCCAGCTACCAGGGAGGTTGAGGCAGGAGAATCGCTTGAACCTGGGGCGGTGAGCCAAGAGCATGCCATTGTACTCCAGCCTGGGCGACAGAGCAAGACTCTGTCTTAAAAAAAAAAAAAAAAGAAATTGTTTGTTGCTTTCATATGTAAAATTGCAAACTAGCTCAATGTCAATAAAACACCTCCCATTTGATGAGTGCTTCCGTTTGCTGAGTGCTCGCTAGGTACCTGCCACTGCTTTCCATGCCTTCACTGTTGTGTGTCCTCCCACCAACCCTGAAGGACACACACATGTCATTATCTCTGTTCACAACAAAAGGACCAAAGCTCAATTCAGTGAAGTGAGTTGCCCAGGTCACCCAGATGGCACAAGGCAGAGTCTGGGTTTGGCTTGGGCCTGTTGCTCTCAATGGCTAAATTTATTCCTCTGAACACTGCCTTTCTGATTATTGGACCAGAGAGGAAACGCGCCTCCTTTGAAGAGCTCATTAACCAAGGGAGGTAGGTAGGGATGTGCAAAGGTAGAAACATGGAAAGAGAGAGGTCTTTGTCCTCTTCCTCCTTTCACCCTCCACTGGCCCTTTTCTCACAAAAAAAGAAACAAAACAAGCTTTTCTTTTCTTCTAAAATCTTCTGAGTCTCCTGTATATTTTATACTAATAGTACGTGTCAGTTTGGACCAGTCAGATTTCAAGTGCTAAATAAGTGACATGTAACCAGTGGCAACCACATTAGACAGCAGAGCTCTAAGAAAACTCTTGTTCTCCTGTGGACAAAGTGAAAATGAAGAGTGGCTGTGTAGAAAAGCAAAGGCTATGTCTCTCCATGTATAGTTGCTACCAACTTTAATTTCTACATGTGTTTCAACCAGGACTAATAGCTGTGTCAGTGGCCGTGCGACTTTCTTTTGAAGACAGAGTATACTTTTCTGGTAAATTATTGCTGCAGCCATCACTGATTCTTTTCTGGAGCTTCTCCGATCCTATACATCCTCAGGTAATTAAGGAGAGTTGCCCATATATCCTAAATTTTCAAAGACTACTTTCATGTGTACCTTTAGCAGTTTTCATTGCAAAGTACTTCATAATCATTTAATGTTGTAAACCTTTAATAAAGTTAGCCTTTCTTCAATGCAGAACTTGTCATCATTCCATTTGAGAAAAACTAAAATTTACAATTTGTTTATTGAACAGATCAACATACTATTTTTTTTCCAAAAATTATAAAAGGAATGTTTAAACTATTTTTAAAACAAACTCTTTTATGGACTTTACTTAAATACTGATTGGTCAATTGCAAACAGATTTTAGTTTCACATGAATTTCCTCAATTCCAAGGATCACCTGGTAATAAATAAAGGTGACTGTGTGGGAGAGCACTGGAGAGTGGTAGGGACTGCAGCCTTGGAGAGTGCACCATCCATCTCCAGGCTGTCTGCCCTCTTGTTGCCAGGTGGTCCCATTGTCAAGAGAATTGAGAAATTTGGAATTTTATATGAAATCGCCAAATTTTAAATAGCTCAACTAAAACCAAACCAAAACCCACAAAAAACCCACTCAAACTAACCAAATTGCATAGCAATTCAAATAAAATGAGGCTGAAGGCTGGGTTTGCTACACGGGGTTCTAGTTTCCATTGTCTGCTCAGTAAGAGATCTGCCTAGTGGGTGGGTGCTGTATAGTGTTAGACTAAGTTATTTCAGTGTATTAAATATAATAGTAGTTTGTTTCTAAAAGGTACTGCATAATTAAGACTTTCCCTAATAAACCCTAGGCTCCCCTTCTTCCTTTTTCCCTAATGCATTTGAATTAAGGTAGTTTTACTGTAATAGATTCTAGATACTTTAATTATTATAGACCCAGAGATCAAAATGAAAGATCTGTAGCCCTTTCTTGTCAGCCACAACATCACCACTCCCTCACTAGAGTTTTCTACCCTTTCTACCCTGTAGCTCTCCTCTCCACTCCAGGAAGCAAGCAATAAAACAGGCACAGATCCTGTCCTCACAGAGCTTCCCTTCCATGCTTTTCAGGAACACTAATTTCATAGTCTTTTTGTTTATAAACATTGTAGCATGCTCCCAAAATGACTACAATTTGTCTCTACTGAGGGGTGGGTTGTGGGGATACCTGCGTTCTCTTGAGAACATACTCAATGCCACTCATATGGCCAATGTGCACAATAAAATTAAACAAAAGCAGCTTTTAGTCCAGAGGCAGAACTCTGGGAATAGACTCTATGCACCTTGCTTATAGATAGCTATAAAATTAGACTTTTAACTGTCTTAATATTTTCTAGCCATGATCTTAATAGGTTTTTTCACTCTTTCTTGAATTTGCTGGGTTTACTTTAGTTAATGCTGGAGAGCCCAGATGACATCTTCTGCTTCAAGTTCTGTCCGAGTGATCCTAATATCATTGCTGGAGGCTGTATCAATGGGCAGGTACTTAAGGAATTTTTTTTCAGCTATGTATTAATACAGACAATCTTCAGTAATAAGTTTTGATTTGGCAGTTTCTTGGACTTAAAGATTCAGTTCAGCAGAAGGAAGGCATGCCAATTGTGTGCCAGTCGCCATACCAGGAAGCAGGGTATAAAGACGTGTTACACGTGGTATCAGCTTCTGAGGTGTTCATGGGGTAACACAGCTTCAAAACTGAAACATAATTGGGTGTCTGTTTGTATTGCTGGAATGGAACCACATATTGTATAAGATTCCATGGACGAACAAAAGCTGTAAGTATTACTACCTCTTGGAAAAAAGGCCTCTTCTGAAATTTCCTTGGGAGTAGGAGTTAGGGGATGATCCAGAATTTAAACAGAAATTCACTGGAAAGCATACATATATCACTGAATTTATGTATGTGTGTATACACACACACACAGATAGATCTCAATACCATTTGTTATCTTCCTTTTAAGTTATTTAATACCAAATTTAGATCCTATCTTCCAATATCCTACTTCTCTAGTGAAGCAAAATAATCATAAAGCTGTTTTATGATCAGTTTAAATTCATTGTGACTAAGTGGCTTTGACCATTAAAAGTGTATATGATTTTTGTGTGTGTGGTTTGAAAAACTTCCTTGTGGTTAAAATGTAAATGCCTGTGGCTTCCATGTCCATTTATCCAGAACCAAAATAACCAGGAAAAAAAAATTTTCTCCCTCAGTTTTGTTCAACCATAACTGAGGGTCATAATGACTCAGAGGGTATCCTCCAAGCCCTGTAAATCCTGAAATGCCTTTTTTATTCATTACAAAAGTAATGTGACTTTGTTTTAGAATATTTTAGAAAAGCACATTATAAAAATAAAACCACTCACAATTCTGTATTCCTGACATTTTGTTAACATTTTAGTGTACTAAAATACCTTTTAGTCATTGGAAACCTAATTTAGTGTTACATATCTACCTTATCCTGATTTTTTTAAAAAATGGCCATCCAGATACATAAGAATGCAGAGTTGGCCATAATATTCAATTAAATGGAAATAATCACTTCCCAGCCCTCTTTGGACAGTCAAGTGTTTGTTTTCAATTCTGGAGTATGGGCTGTTTTTTCCTGGGTCCCAGGCAACTGTCCCTGCAATCACAGCACATTTCCAAAAACAGGGAAAGAACTTTTCCCAAAGCAAAGGGAATTGCATGACATTTATTTTGGATTTTTAAAAATACTGGCATTTATTAATATAAGCACAAAAATGAAAGTGCCAAAGATACTTTTACAGAGAAGAAAACGTTCTTTTTATATTAGCTTTAAAAATTGCTGACTTAAGGTATAAGCTAAATTTGATTATCCCCTAAGGTGATTGACTTATCAGGCTACAGCCAATAGTTAAAATAAATTAGGACCCAGTTATATATTTTCTAAAAAGATTTTGATAAATTTATTTCTGTTTTAGATTGTCCTGTGGGATATCACTGCACATGCAGATCGCATAGAAAACATTAAGGCAGGTGGTAGTAGAAGTAAGAAAGCCACATTGAAGGTAAGCTTTTTATAACATTTCATTTACAAGTTTTTTTCCATTCAAGAGTTTATGAAAAAAGTACATAATATAGTTGCCAAGGCTAACAAAAACTCAAAAGAGAAAAAAGGAAAAAAAAAGAATGTTACTTCCCAAGGCTTCACCTGTTCTCAATCACTTTTATGTGGTGGGCCCTTGACTAAAAGACAGTGAATCAAGTTGCACCATCTATCCAAGGATATGAAGTTCTGTCTCGTTGTTATTGTAAAATGAAATGAAGGGACCAAGTGACTTGCCTAAAGTGAGGTGAAAGAGCACCAGACAGAAGGGCGGGTAACCAAGTTGTACACTGTAGTCCTATGAATTTTGGTGTGCCACCTCACCTCAGCAGGATGGCTTTTCTCATGCATAAAATTAAGGGGTTACATCATATTTGATGATAATACACCATGATTTTGTGAGGCTATGGATTCTGTTAAGATGGTTGAGAAGATTCCTCAGTTCCCAACTCCATACCTACCTGCCATATTGCACATCTGCTCCAACCCAGTTCTTTAGGCTTAACATCAACAATTCTCTTACCAAAGAAGGATGAGATGTGGCCTTCTATTGGCACAAAGAAATACTCTTTCTAGAATGAGATGTCTCATTGATTCTTTATGGAGTAGGTCAATAATACTTATTAAGTTTAGAGATATAATCTTAGAAGCCAGGTGTGGTGACTCATGCCTGTAATCCCAGCACTTTGGGAGGCCAAGGTGGGCAGATCATAAGGTCTGGAGATCAAGACCATCCTGGTTAACACGGTGAAACCCTGTGTCTATTAAAGTACAAAAAAAATTAGCGGGGTGTGGTGGCACATTCCTGTTCCCAGCTACTCGGGAGGCAGAGGCAGGAGAATCGCTTGAACCCAGGAGGCAGAGGTTACAGTGAGCCAAGTTCATGCGACTGCACTCCATCGAGCCTAAGAGACAGAGCAAGACTGTCTCAAAAAAAAAAAAAAAAAAAGAGAGAGAGCGAGAGAGAATCTTAGACCAAACTGAAAGGGAAAGTAGATAATCCTATTAACTAAATATATGATATATGGAAACACTAATTTATGTTTTTCCTTGAACTACTATATCTCTAAGTTGTTAAGTTTAATTGGAATGATGAGTAAAGTATGAGTTCATTCATCAGCCTCTGAAATTAGCACTTAACTTTCTTTTAATATTTTTCAGCCTATGTTTCTCCTTGAACCAGAGAGTAATAAAGAAGCAATGTATATCAGACACTGCGCAGTCTCTTCAATAGAGAGTGGACATAAGAAAGTAATTACAGATATACACTGGCTGTCTGACACATTTGAGGTGATACTTGATGGCCTTATACTTTTCTCATGCTGAATTATATATTTTCAGATTTTATGCAAAGAAGGTGTTTCAAGTCAACAATTAATTTACATTTAAATTGTGAAATAACCAGGAACTAAGCATCAAAAAATTGGGTTACTGTTGCCAGACCAGTATCTGAGATGGGGTAAGAATAAGGCCAATCTTTCAATTCGATTGGTTTCTAACTAAAAAATGTGGGTGGTATCAACCCTGGTATAATACAGTAGTGGAGAAGATGAGGGCTTGATGTGTAAAAATGAACTGCAAATATTTTACACCCTTAGCATATATGAATTTAAGATTTATGATCTCAGATATTTGAGGGCAGGGAACCCTAAAGATCTGTGACATACCATGTAATTTTGCTGGGCACAATCTGGAATTGAGTGTGCCGAGAGGCTGGTGGGTGAAAATTGTATCACTTTTATAATATTTTGCAGTAAAATATAGTACCATCTTCTCTGTTAATATATAATTGCTTTAAGCTTCCCATAAACTATAAGAATATGTTTAGTTTACAGTATATAGATTCTATGAAAAAATATCCATGGCACAGTAACTGGTCCACTTGTTAAGAAAAATTTATCCTTTTATATATCTTCAAAGTTGATATTTGGAACTTTATTCCAAAAGTAGTGCATGTGAAGAAAGAATCTAGACTTTCTTGTATACATTTTTCTCTTCTCCAGAAATAAACAATTACCTTTCATTTTACCTGTGTTTAATTTTTAAAAACATAAAAATGAGAAACCAAGTAAAACTACGAATATAAATATGAAAGTGAAGTCGACGGAAAAAAAAAAGCTGACTGCCCAACTTCTGCATTGGTGTTTGTCTTTATGGTTGTATACTTACCTGACCTTCCAGGATCTGAGGAACCACAGACGCTCCTGATAATCCTCTCTGTGCATGCAGAGTTATGCCCTTAATTACAACAGGGTCGTGTCTTACAACAGTCAAGGCACACTTACATTTGGTGTTTCATTTAACACTTAGCCTCTTTCCCATTGATGTTACCTGCTAAACAACCTCATAAAAGCACCTATGTTTAACTGTACAAAAACTGACAGAGCCTACATTTCTAATAATAATGGATAATGAAATGGTGGTATATGATCCGTATATTATAAAAGGATTAGAATAATTTATGATGCCAGGCACAGTGGTTCACACCTGTAATCCTAACACTTTGGGAGGTCAAAGTGGGCATATCACTTGAGGCCAGGAGTTCCAAACCAGCCTGGCCAACATAGCGAAACCCCTACTCTACTAAAAATACAAAATTTAGCCAGGTGTGGTGGCACATGCCTGTATTACCAGCTCCTCGGGAGTCTGAGGTAGGAGAATCCCTTGAATCTTGGAAGCAGAGATTGCAGTGAATGAGATTGCACCACTGCACTCCAGCCTGGGCCACACAGTGAGACGCCATGTCAAAATAATAATGATAACAATTTATGAATATATAGGTAAATGTTCAATTTATGTGGAGTGAAAAATCTCAGTATAAAAATTTATATGCTTCTCATTAAAACTACCTAAAAATGTTTCCATGACAAAAAACTAGACAAGAATATATTGCAGAATTGTTTTTGATTTTAAAACCTATTTCCCAAACTTCTGAGATAGTTCTTTTATTAACATTTAAAACAAAGAAGAAAAAATGTAAAAGATAAATAGCTATGAGAAAAACAATGTTATTTCTCTTGCACTTTTGAAAAATAGATTAACAGGATGGGCTCTGTCTTTGAAAATCGAAGTGGAATATGCTGTCAGCTTGTCACATGTTCAGCAGATTGGTAAGTCTTATTTCAAACATTTCCTAATGTGTTTTCATACATGTTGTTTTTTCTTAGATGCTTCTAAAATCAGTGTCTTCTTAATCTTTATTGTAGCAATTAAATCTAATATAACTAAATGAAAGAAAGTTACGGATTGTTGCTGGTTTAAAAATTGTTTTATAGAGGTAAATATATTATGTAAAGAACTAACTAAACCTTGTGGTTGATAATGTTAGATAGCATTATCCATAGTTCTTCACATTCTCATATTTGTAAATTTGTAATATATGTTATTTACATTCAGTTTTATCTAAAAATTATAAAGATTACAACATTTAATTGGGAAAGCTTCTTTTTAAAAGTAGAAGAGTTTTAACCTTTTATTGTAAAAAGTGTTTTTATAAACAACTCAGTAGCTATGTTGAAGAATATTCACTTAAATAAAATTACATCTCCCAATTTATAGAACTAAGAATTCATAATGAAACAGGACATATGAAGAGTACTGTTATTTAGCATCCAAATGCTGGACAAACTTTCACATTCCAAACAGCTTTGACCCCAATGGAAACAATTACACCATAAGCCACAGAAGCAGCTGTGGTGTGGCAGGAGAAGGCACAAGTGATGTTAGCAACAGCCACAGTCCAGGGGTGAGGGAGACATGATTAATCCTGTGAGCATGTATTGGGGAAGATTCTGTTACTACAGGCAATGAATATTGACAGTGGCTAACTTAAGGGAAAGAAATAAATTTATTGAAAATAAATGTATTGGATATTTATGCCAATACTCTACTGGGTGCTTTAATAGGTTAACTATTTTTATATTTGCAACAACCCTGTAAAATATTTATAGAGGGAAAATATAGGCTCTGCGAGATTGTACCATTGCACTCCAGCCTGGGCAACAAGAGCGAAACTCCATCTCAAAAAACAAAAAAAAAGAAAAGAAAATATAAGACTTTGAAGGCAAATTCATATTTCACCCATAGCTGACTAAATTAGAATAAGTTATATATAACAGTACTGAATGTCCTACATTGTAGCTAGTAAGTATGTTCCTGAATCAAACGAAGAGCTGACTTGGGCCTTGGAAACAGCCCCAGGGATTGGGTAGCAAAAACAAACGGCCAGCCCCTTTTCCCTGAATGGATCAGTGCCAGTGATTGTGTTCTGTTGCTCAAGATTCAGAGTAACTGGAAGAGGTTTGCTGGGCTCCCATTGTATCATGAATCCATCCCTTTGGCCAGGGAAGAAATGACAGACAACCTTGAGTGACAGTCCCAACCTGATTGCAGCAATGGAGAACGGGGCGGTTCCCCAAAGAACACTGGAATGCTCTTGCCAAAGAAAAGGGGGAAGTTGTCCACCAGGCAAAGACAATACATCACCCATACCATATGAAATATCATGGAACAATTAAATTACATTATATTATTTTGAATCTGTAGGTCAATATTATGAGAATTAGCATCTAACAAAATGAGTTTTAACACATAAACACAGTATATCTCTTCATGTATTTAGGTCATTAAATTTGATTTCATAGGGAAACAATTGTGCTATAATGTTGATTGTAAACAACAGAATGTAAAACTATACTGGGAGAACATTTAAAAGCATATTGATGTGGGTCCTGAGTTGTTCTATATAATGATGGCTCTTGAGTTTGAAAGGAAGGAAGAAGGCTAGTTGGTTAAATTATTATTTTATATGATTATTGTGTAAATATGGGAATATTCTGGAAATATTTCCTTCAAAAGTTATTAAAGTGAAAAATAAAGTTGTGCTTTTAGAAAAGCTTTCAGTTACCTGGAAAAGTCCACTACTCCTAACCTTTATACTTCAGCCATGCTAAGGGTCTTATAATATAGAATATAACAAAATGAATTTCCATTAATTAAGAATGTGTAACTGATTTATATAGAAAGTTGAACTGATGCTATCTGTATTTAGCAAAGCCATTTCATGAATGATGCTAATAATGCTATAAGATTTAAGAAGAGCAATATCATTTTAAAAAACAATTTTAAGCCAACCATAAGTATGTTTAAAAACAGATCTTAATATGTCACTTGGGGTGTTTTTTTCAAGAAATCGATTTGACAATATAAAAATGATTAATATTTTTATTAATTTTAACCATTTATCTGTTATTAAAGTGACTATATTGATTAAATTAGATTTAAAAATTTGTTAGTCTTATTTGAGTTGCTATTTAATACTTAAACTTATACATCTAAGTTATTTAATATATTCTAAATTTATCAGATTATATATAACTTTGGTGATAGAAATTATGGAGCTAATATGGCATATTTTAGCCATTTTCATTATATATATATATATATATATATATATATATTTATATATAAATATATATATTTTCTAAGGTGGGGTTTTCACCATGATGGCCAGGCTGGTCTTGAACTCCTGACCTCAGGTGATCCACCCACCTCGGCCTCCCAAAGTGCTAGGATTACAGGTGTGAGCCACAGCGCCCGGCTTTCTGTATATATTTTTACATAAATGATACAAAGAATATAATTAATTTCAGACTAGTGTAAATAATTAATAAATACACATAAGTATCATTATAGTGTGTTGTAGTTTCATTATCAGAAACATATTCCTCACAGGTTAATTATGAAAATCAAATGACATAGTGTATGTGAACATTCTTTATAAAGTTTCGCATATATAGAGTATTATTTTTGGTGTACTCTGTATATGCGTGTGGAACTTCTAAAAAATTTTTAAGATATCTCCTTTGAGTTTTAGAATTAATCTTTGAGGAAGAAGGAATAAGGATAAATAACACTTGTCTTGTTGAGTGCCTACTGTGTACCAAGCACATTATATCCAACTCTGTGTATGTTATTTTCACTATATTACTTTTAAGATTATGTCACTTTGACAAAACGCCAAAAGCACAAGCAACAAAAGAAAAATATAAATAAATTGGACTTTATCAAAATTAAACATTTTGAGCTTCCAAAGTCATTACCAAGAAATTGAAAAAGCAACCACAGAATGGGAAAAAATATTTACAAATTATATATCTGATAAAAGAGTTGTATTCAGAATATATAGAAGAACTCTTACCATGCAACAATAAAAACACAGATGACCCAATTAAAAAGTGAACAAAGGTTCTCAGTAGATATTTCCCCAAAGAAGATAAACAAATAATCAGTAAGCACATAAAAAGATGCTCAGTATCATCAGCTATCAGGGAAATGCAAATCAAAACCATAATGAGACCTAGAATAGCCAAAACAATCTTGTCAAGGAAGAAAAAGTTGGAAGACTCACACTTCCAGATTTCTAAACTTTCTACAAAGCTATGGTAATAGAGACTGATGTATTAGAACTAGTATAAGGACAGACACATAGATCAATGAAATAGACTTGAGAGTCCAGAAATAAACCCATACATCTGTGGCCAACTGATTTTCAACCAGGATGCCAAGACAGTTCAGTGGATAAAGATAATCTTTTCAACAAATGGTGCTGGGACAACTAGATATCCACATGCAAAATATAAAGTTGGATTCCTACCTCACCCCATATACAAACGTTTAAAATGGAATAATGACCTAAATGTAAGAGCTAAAACTAGAAAACTCGTAGACGAAAACATAGTCACGTGTCTTCATAACTTTGAATTGAGGGGCAATTTCTTAAATATTGTATCAAAAGCACAAATGCAAATCAAAACTACTTTTGAGGAAATACAACTTCATACCCACTAGGATGCTATAATCAAAAGACAAAAAGCAACAAATGCTGGTGAATTGAGAGATGTGGATAAATTAGAGTGATTGCACATTGCCGACAGAATGTAAAAATGGTGCAGTTACTTTGGAAAACAATCTGGCAGTTCCTCAAAAGATTAAACACAGAGTTACCATTTAACCCAGCAATTCCAGTCCTAGATACAACCAAGAGAAATGCAAATATACACACATGTTCACTGGCAGCATTATTTATAACAGTCAAAAAGTGGGGGCAGGGGGCAGAATTCAAATTTATTTATCAAATGTACTGATTGCATCAATTTCAAACTCAATTCTCATATATAATATTAGTCCCAAGATGAGGGAGGTTGTTTAAACAACCCAATAAACAGTTTAATTCTCTAAAATATAAAGTACAAAGCTATCCACTTTTATAAAAATCTTAGTTTCAGATACATTAAAATATAGCCATGGTCACAATGCTAATATGTAGCAGCATTAATGGTAGTCCTGAGGCTGCATCTCTTGTTTGTACTTAATAAAAAAATAAAATATAAACTTTCTTTTTAGTACAATATGTTTTTGGGATATTAGACCACAGAAACCTTTAACCCCTCAAACAACAGAGAAAAAGAAGGAAGAAAGTATTGAAATTCCTTTTGATGTACCATCTACTTTTTTGCATCTAGATCTTTCCTGGAAACCTCTCAGTAAGGTAAGTAATGTGGGGTTTAGTCCATCCTGTTTGCATAATACGCTATTCACTTTGTATGCATAGACATACATATACACACTCTCTCTAAAAGTAGAGCAGCTCAAATTAACAGTAGACTGTACAATTTGTGTTTATTCAACCAATAAATTCCTTGATTGAGGTTTTTTTAGTTGTATTTTTAATTGATACATGATATTGTATATATTGTATAATGATTTACACATATTTACTGTGAAAAGTTGAAAATGAAGAAGTATATGGTTGCTAATATAGCTGATGTTTGTGATATACAGAAAAAGGGAGCAGAAAAACATTTCGGTTGTACTATCTAATTGTGCCAATAACAGTGATAGGTTTCAGAGTTCCTGGGAGAGCTTTAAGCTCTCACTATTTTATTATTATTATTATTATTATTATTTTATTTTTTTTTTTTTTTTTGAGACGGAGTTTTGCTCTTGTTACCCAGGCTGGAGTGCAATGGTGCGATCTCGGCTCACCGCAACCTCCGCCTCCTGGGTTCAGGCAATTCTCCTGCCTCAGCCTCCTGAGTAGCTGGGATTACAGGCACGCGCCACCATGCCCAGCTAATTTTTTGTAGTTTTAGTAGAGACGGGGTTTCACCGTGTTGACCAGGATGGTCTCGATCTCTTGACCTCGTGATCCACCCGCCTTGGCCTCCCAAAGTGCTGGGATTACAGGCTTGAGCCACTGTGCCCGGCTAATTATTATTTTTAAGAAATAATAATAGAATTGGAAAGAGAATTGGGAAAGAATATGAAAGAGAAGATTATAAATTTGGGGGACTGGGGTAGGATCTAATGAGCTATGAATAGTTCAAACAACCCCAAACTCATCTAAGATATTTTAATTATTTTAAAAATTATTTATTTTTATATTTTAATTATTTTTAATTATTTTATTATTAATTTTCAGGGGGTACACATGCAGGTTTGTCCCATGGTTATGTTGTATAATGCTGGGGTTTGGGCTTCCGTTGAACCCATCATCCAAGTAGTGAACATAGTACCCAAAAGGCAGTTTTTCAACCCTTTCTTCCCTTTTTCCCTTCCCCCCACCAAGTTATTTTGATGCCTTTTTAGATCCAGGCAGAAATCAAAATTACCATGAACTTAAGATTGATATTTCTTATGCAAACAAGCCACAATTTCCAAACAATTTGTGTAACAATTATTCCATTGCATATCAGTTGCCTGAAAATTGGTTGGTGCTCAAGTTAGCCCAGAAAAGCTAATTTTCCTCCCTACTATAGCCAAAATTCTGCATATTTTGCCTATCAGTAGAAGGAACCAATATTGTTCCTTCTATATGTTTTTGGCATATTAGAGCACAGAAAGCTTGATAATACCTATGACCAAACAGAACCGAAAATTAATTGAATGAAAAGTTGTTTGTATTTATATTGCACGGCAGAGCTTGAAGAAAAGCAGTTTTGAGAAAAATGTGGCTATGGATGAGATATGTGTGGAAAATATAAATGGACTTCAAACGTTGGTGGCTATCTTTCTTTAGAATGTCGTTTTAATTTTAAGCTTAACACTTTTCTTCTGATTTATAAGTATCACAAGAATTATATTATTTTATATTTGCTCCCAATGGAAGAGAGAACATGGAGGAATAAGAATATTGCTGAGGTAACTGGGAAAGAATTGGAAAGAGAAGATTATAAATTTGGAAGACTGTGGGTAGGATCTACTGAGCTATGAAGAGTTCAAACAAACAATCCCAAACTCATCTAAAAATAATTGCATAGCATGTGAACAAACATCCTGACGGAGAAGGGGCTGAGGGAGCTGTGAGGGAAGACTGTGAAGTGTGACAGTTTCTCTTTCCAGCCACCAGGATGCAGTGCAGGCCCAGGGCCACTTCTGGAACTCCAGGGCATGTGTTCCTGAGAGGACTTGGAGGTGGCCAAGAAGATGCAAGGTCCCTGCCCAACTTTCTGGAGTTCCATTTAACTGAAAATTTAGGGAACAGGGTAACAAGTTATTATTTTATACTAAAACTACTAAGGATGTATTACGGAATACCATACAAGACATTTTCTTCAGAAAGAAAATGACACATGAGAAGTTGGGATGTGGAAATGTGTCTTCAGACAAGCTCCTTTTTGTGGCTGGGTTTAGAAATGTGGTTTAGGTGCTCTCCGTGGAGAAAGGCAACTAGAAATGTGAGGGACAAAGGAAGAAAAAAAAGGATGTGGGTTTCCTTCAATCTGGGAGCAGAAGGGAAAGGAAAGAATAAATTACCCAAGGATAACTTCTGGATATGTGGAAATAATCTTTCCTATATGTTCTCCCAAAAGATAAGGCTGTCCAAGGGTGAAACAAGTTTAGACCACTGCCCAACCAGAATAAGCCTGAATGAAGACCATCTTCTTTACAAAACAGAAGGTAACTGCCTTTGCTTATTTAAAAAAATTTTTTTTACTAGTTAGAGTGTTAGTAGCTGATTATGACTAATGTGAGTTACCACTAGGATAGTCTAATTTTTAAAAGGAATACAAAAAATCAAACCCTCCAATGTGGAACTTTATAATGGCAACAGTAGCTATTGCCAACACATTAAAACTGCCTGTACACAAAAAAGATTCAGTTCATTTCAGCTTCACAAATATTTATTGAGCACATTTATGTGTCTTCAGAAACTCATTACATGAAATGAAAATGAAGTCCACTTAATGAATATGTTATGTGCTCAAATAATAATGCTATAGAATGAAACACATCTGAAGCCTAGCAAAATAAGTTATGAAGTATCAAGAAACAAATTACCATTCTCAATTAGAATATAATTTTTAAAAATAATATTTATATGGTACCAAGATAAAACTGAATAAAGAAAGAAAACTGACTTTTAAATCTATCTCAACTAAACCCACACATCTTTGTTGAAGTAATTAAAGGGCATACATGTAAGCTGTCAAAACTATTAAGATAAAGGCCTGCATGAATATCCCACCTGGAGAACAATGCATAGTGAAAATGTTTGAGAATAACTAGCAATTGAAATATTTCCCAGACATTTGCTTTATCAAAAGGATTTCCATTTATAAATTTTTCAATGTTCAGTTAAATGATAGGATATCTAAGAAAAATATATTACATATACCTAATACCCAGCTTGAGCAAAATTTCACTTTGGAGCCATGTGTTTTATTAATATAACCCAAAATCTGCTAAAAAAATTTGAATCACTAAATTTTTATAGATATTTTCAAAGGATTAAACCATTGCATGCTGTTTCTCTATTAGGGCCTGCTTCATTCTAGAGGGAATCTAATGTGAGTTTTCGCCTTCTCCACCGCTCTTCCTCTTCCTTCTTTTCCTCCTCTTTTGTATTCAATCATTGGTTATAATGTATTGCATTCCAGCCATGGCTCAGGTACTGTGCTACTATTGCACATGCTTTCATTCATTAAACAGATATTTATGAATTGCTTACTTTGTGCTAGGCCCTGGGTATACTATAGTAAGCAAAAACAGATGCTAATGATCACAACAATCTACAAGCTGGGAATTTCCATTACTGTTTTATAATTAAGAAAATCAAGGCTGAGAGAGGTTAATGTAATTTGTAAAAAGGTAACTTATTAAATGTGCTAGTATTATTTTTTAACCTAATGAAAACAGGTGGCCAGGAGGATGTGACTACCTTTGTCTAGTTTATAGAAAGGGTATCATTATCTCTTTTAAAGTGTGAGGGGTTTTTAAAATTCATTTTTAACAACCACACTGAGGTATAATTGACATGCAATGAACTACCTGTTGTCAAAGTGTTCAATTTGATATCTTTTGACATACATACACATCCACGAAACCATCAACATAATCGAGTTAATGAACATATTCACCACTCCCAAAAGTTTATTCAAAGAGGAATTCTCTTTGGGACGCTTCCCTCCAGCACCTCCCTCACACCCAGGCCACATTGGATCTACTTTCTATCACTATACATTAGTTTGCACTATCTAGAATTTTATGTAAGTCATACAGTATATACTCTTTTTATTTATTTAAGAGATGGGGCCTTACTCCATCACCTAGGGTGGAGTGCAGGGGCATGATCATAGTTAACTGCTGCCTCTAACTCCTGGGCTCAAGCTATTCTCCTGTCTCAGCCTCCTAAGAGCTGGGACTACAAGCATGCACCACCACATGCAGCAATCTTTTTTTTTTTTTTTTTTTTTGTGACGGAGTTTCGCTCTTGTTACCCAGGCTGGAGTGCAATGGCGCGATCTCGGCTCACTGCAACCTCCGCCTACTGGGTTCAGGCAATTCTCCTGCCTCAGCCTCCTGAGTAGCTGGGATCACAGGCACGCGCCACCATGCCCAGCTAATTTTTTGTATTTTTTAGTAAAAACAGGGTTTCACCATGTTGACCAGGATGGTCTCGATCTCTTGACCTCGTGATCTACCCGCCTCGGCCTCCTAAAGTGCTGGGATTACAGGCATGAGCCACCGCGCCTGGCCCAATCTGGCTTCTTTTAATAAGCATGATTATTTTAGAATTAATTCATGTTGTCTGAATGAATCCTTTTTATTAGAGTGGCATTTCATTGTATGAATATACAACAGTTGTTTATCCATTCACCTGTTGATAAACATTTAGATTGTTTTCAGCTTAGGCCTATTACAAATAAAGCTTCTACAAACATTCATATACAAGTCTTTGTATGGACATACGCCTTCATATTTTCTTGGGTGCATCCCTAGGAATAGAATGGCTGTATTATATGGCAGGCATATGTTTAACTTTTTCAGAAACTGCTAAGGCATTTTCTAGTTTTACCATTTACATTCCCACTACAATGTATGGAGAGTTCCATTTTCTCCACATCCTTGCCAACAGTTGATATGGGTAATCTTTTTAGTTTAACCATTCTTAAGTATACATGGTCATATCTCATTTACGCTTACCTAATGACTAAAGTTGTCAAGCAGATTTTCACGTTTTTTTGCCACCTTTTTATCTTCCCTGGATAAGTGTCTGTTCAGATCTTTTTCCCATTTATCAGTTGGGTTGTTTGTTTTATTTTTATTTTTATTTTTATTTTTGAGACCGAGTCTCACTCCGCCACCCGGGCTGGAGTGCAGTGGCACGATCTTGGCTCACTGCAATCTCTGCCTCCAGGTTCAAGTGATTCTTATGCATCAGCTAACCGAGTAGCTGGGATTTTAGGTGTGTGCCACCATGCCTGGCTAATTTTTGTGTTTTTAGTAGAGACAGGGTTTTGCCATGTTGGCCAGGCTGGTCTCAAACTCCTGTCCTTAAACAATCTGCCCAAGTTGGCCTCCCGAAGTGCTAGGATTATGGGCATGAGCCACCGCACCCAGCCTGTTTGTTTTCTTATTATTGAATTATGAGACAGCTTAATATATTTTATATACTAGTTTTTTCTCAGGACTAGTGATATGTGATTTGAAAATATTTCCTCCTAGTTTGCAATTTGTTGTTTCATCTCTTAGCAGTCTTTTGAAAATCAGAAGTTTTTAATTTTGGGGAAGTGCAGTTTATCAGTTTATTCTTGTTGTGGATCCTGATTTTGATGTTGAATTTAAGAAATTTTTGCCTAGCCTATAGTTGCCAATTTTTTTCCTAATGTTTCTAGAAGTTTTGTGGTTTCATATTTAGGTCTATGATTACTTTTGAGTTAATTTTTGTGAATGATATATGTTATGGATCAAAGTTCATTATTTTGTATATGGTATCCCCACACCATTTGTTGAATACACCATCCTCTCTACTGAACTGCTTTGTACCTTTGTCAAAAATCACTTGTATGTATGTAATTACGTCTATTTCTAAACTCTGTTCTGTTCCATTGACCTGTCTTTAGAGCAATATCACACTGTTTTGATTATGCTAGCTTTATAATTAGTCTTGAAATTAGATAGTGTTAGTCCTCCAAATATTTTTTTTTTAAAGTAGCTTTTTACTGTTGGAGGTTTTTTTTTGCTTTTCCATGTGAATTTTAGAAAGAGCTTGTTATGCGTAAGAAGCTAGCTAGGATTTTGACTAAGGTTATTTTGAATCTGTAGGTCAATATTATGAGAATTAGCATCTAACAAAATGAGTTTTAACACATAAACACAGTATATCTCTTCATGTATTTAGGTCATTAAATTCTCAGTGATTTTTGTACTCTTCAGTGTATAAATCTTTCACCTCTTTTGAGAGGTTTATTTCTAAGTTCTTCATATTTTTTGATGCTCTTATTAATGGTACTTAAAATTTTTTAATTTCCAATTGTTCATTGCCTGTGTATAAAAATACAATTTATTATTATTATTAATATTATTATTAGAGACAGAGTTTTGATCTGTCGCACAGGCTGGAGTGCAGTGGTATGATCTCAGCTCACTGTACCTCTGCCCCCTGAGTTCAAGTGATTCTCCTGCCTTCCAAGTAGCTAGGACTATAGGCATGTGCCATCACACCCGGCTAATTTTTGTATTTTTAGTAGAGATGGGGTTTCACCATGTTGGCCAGGCTGTCTCAAACTCCTGAACTCAGGAGATCTGCTTGCCTCAGCCTCCCAAAGTTCTGGAATTACTTTGGGAGGCGTGAGCCACCGTGCTCGGCCTACAATTTATCTTTGAATATTGATTTTATGTCCTGAAATCTTGCTAAAATCTCTTACTAGTTATGGTGGCTTCTTTTAGACATACTGATTTTTCTATATAGATGATAATATCATTTGCAAATAAAGACAGTTTTACTTTCTTTCTAGTCTGGATGACTATTTTTTTTCTTACCTGATTGTACTGTGTAGAGCCTCCAGAATGTTAAATGAAGTGTGACAGTGGACATCCCTGTTTTTTTCCTGATCTTAGAGGGAAGGTCACTATATGGCCCTGATCTGCCTCCTGTGTGAATGACCAGCTTTCAGGATTTTGAGATCAACTATGGTATTTCAGATTTCCTTTGGTCACACTGCCAACTATCCATCCATTCTGGGAACACTTGGCCCTGTTAACTAGAATATACTCATAAGGTTGTTGATCACATTTTGATTCTTGATCCTGTGCTTGTTCTCCTTTGACTGTGTATCACAAGTCCTTGCCATCCCACCATTTTCTCTTGAGGCCTGTTCAGACTTTGTGTCAGTGGCTGGTACTCTGTTACCATCTAGTAGCCAGGGACTACCCACCCTTTGTCTGCCATTTTTGGTCCATGACAATCCGTGCTCTTCTAAGTGGTCACTTTAAGAAATTCTGTATTTATTCTGATAAGAAAGCCCTTGCTCTAAATGGTTTTGGAATTCCTCTGTTGGAATAGCCTTTACAGCCTGAAGGCTATTCCAGCCTGAGGGCTATTCCAGCCTTTACATATATTCTTTACAACCTTTACATATATTCTTCTAAGCAATGTGGCACAGCAGCTAAGAAGTTAGATTCTGGAGTTGATGGTCTGGGTTTAAATCCCAAAGCCACAATGTATTATTTATTTACCTCTCTGTACCTTAGTTGGTGGTTGTTTTTTGTTTTAATCTATTTGAAAATAGAGTAAGGAAGATTAGGGGAGTAAATAATAAAGGGAACGACCTCATAGGGCATTATGAAAGTGAAACGAGTTATACACCAAGCTCTCAAAATAGCACATAGTCAACACACAGTAAATGTTAGATACCATGTGTGAGACTTTGCATAAATTACTCAACCTCTCTGAGCCTCAGTTCACTCATCCTTGGAGGGGGATCAATGCATAACCACCTTGGAAGTTCTCGTGAGGATTGAATGAAATAGCTCCTATAAAGCACACACTTTAGTGCCTGGCACATAGTAATCATTCAATAAATGTCAGTTGCTGTTGTTATTACTATCTCAAAGGATGGGAAATCCATGACCTATGAGGATGATTTTGAATCTAAGTATCCAAAGTCATTCCTGTCAACTCTGAATAAACGTAGTTAATAACATTTTTCCCTGACCTCACTTTCTTTGACTCTACCACAGCCATCCCCAACCTTTTTGGCACCAGGGACCAGTTTTGCGGAAGATAATTTTTCCACGGGGTGGTAGGGGGAGGTGGTGGGGCAGGTATTAGCTTCTCATAAGGAGCATGCTAGATGTGCATGTGCAGTTCACAATAGGGTTCGTGTTTGTGAGAATGTAATACTGCTGTGATCTGACAGAGGTGGAGCTCAGTCAGTAATGCTCGCTCACCCACCTGCTGCTCATCTCCTGCTATGCTGACTGGTTTCTAACATGCCATAGACCAGTATCTGTAGCCCAGAGGTTGGGGACCCCTGCTCTACCACATTAAATGCTATTAACTCAGCCTGTTTTCTTGGAGCTCACACTTTTCTTAGTATTTGTCACTTTTCTATCCTGCCACTTCTTCAATTTTCTCTCCTCTATTTCCTTTCCTGGCGCCATTTCACCTTGCTGCCATCTACTCATGAATGTACCTTGAACTTGAATTTCAGCTGTTTGCTTTCCTCATTGGTAACGCAGTCTACCTGCGTGACTCTAACTTTTATCTCTGCTGAGAATTCTCCATCTGACTCTTGCTGTCTCCTGGGTTTAAACCCAGTCTACCCTATCAAAGTCAATGTGTCCAGAACAGAATCGATAACCTGATTCTCTCTTCAGGCCTCTACATCCAGTCTCTCATTCAGGATAATCATGTTTTCCTTTACATGTATCTTTTCCTTTTCATTATCAGTTGTAGCCCTATAGATCAGGGTCTTGTCTCCCCTTGTTAGAACAGAAGTCTTCACACTTTTAATCCTACACCCCCTCATTTAACATTTTTGAGTACAGATTCTCAATGTGTGTGTGTGTGTGTGTGTGTGTGTGTGTGTGTTTGTGTATGTATGTATTTACAAATTACATACATATTCAACTTCCCTAATGTATTTGTGTACATGATTTAAAGAGAGGAACAGACGTTGAAGTGAAGAGTGAAGAATTTGAAATAAATATCTTAATTATTTTAATTGTATATATTAAATGGATACAAAATGCCTTCTTGCTCTTCCTTACATGTATTATAAATAATATATTTTAATAAGAACAATGTGATTGAATATGCCTAGTCATATTTGAAATGTTGGTTTACACTTTGTAATACAGATATTTAAAGATCTAGTTTGATGTTTGGTTCATTTTTATATTGATTTTTGATGTCTTACTTAGTGGGAAAAGATACCTCTCAAAACATATAGATCCCAGACAATAAAAGTATAGGTTGACTGTGTCAACTAAATCATGACAATCACTTTTAAGTTTTATCCAGAATCATGCTAAAGTTTTTTGAAATGTAATATGTCTTTTTGGTATAGCTGAAGTTTTCTTCTCCTGTTTTAGTTTTCATTTGTCTGTTGGTTGGTTGGTTTTATGGTTTTTATGATTTCCTCCTGAGTAATATAACTCAGAGGACATATTGAGGAAGTGTGATGAGAGGAGGGTTTTATGAGCATATATTTCTCTACCGTCTTTCCCAGGAATTGATTATCATTATCATATTTTGAAAAACTAATAAGTTACCTGGGAAAATGTTGAAGACATAGCATTAAGAGAACAGAAAACAAGTATACAAAACTAAAATAGGATATGATCCACTTTTTTTTAAGTTTATATATTCATAAGTCACAATATTTTAATATTATCTCTGAGAGACGTGATAATGGATGATTTTTGTTCTTTTTACTCACACTTTCCTCTATTCTCCAAAGCTTATATAAATACCATTTATTAATTTTAGAGTACAAAAAGATTTTTAAAACAAGGTAACATCAAATACTTCTAAGAAGAAACAGGTTGCCAATGATGTTTGTGTTTCAGTCCCCAGATTAGCTATGCTATACACTACGTGCATGTACAGCTAGAGCTACAATACAGTACAGTCATTGATGTTTGGTTTGGAACAAAAAAGGGTTCTGCTGCTAAATTGGAAATCTAAAATGCTTGGACTTATGCCCATTACATTGGGAAGGGAATGGGGCAAATGTGGGTGGCAAGGGGCAGAAAGTGTAAACTGTCTATGTTTTAAAAGATGTTTCACTGTAAATATGTATTTCTTTTACCCACATTCCCCTGAAAGACAAAACGTTAACACAGAGCAAAACAGTGAAGGCAGGAGAAATGAACCCATACCATAATCTAGAAAGTGGGATGGCCAATCTTCTCAAGCCAATAGATGACTTCTGCACAAAGTTCTTTGTGGGAACAGAGGTAAATTGGGATTATTAGCTTTTAAAATTAATAATTATTTACACTGAAATATATTATTATAACGTCTTATTGTATATTTTTGCTGTGTAAAGACATAAATTATACCGTTTACATATTTTAGTATGTTTGTTTGCATTAAATATTTTTAACTTTGATACCTCATAGATTCACCTTTAAAATGTTCCTGAACAGTTGTGGAAAAATCTATAAAACTGCATATGCTTTTAGCTAATAATGTATTGTTTAGTCTGCAAATATTCATCAAATACCTTTCTCATTTGGAAGAAACCATAGTAAGTGTTAGAGATTTACTAAGAAAATGTACTGTTTTGTTGGGCCAACACAGTCTAGTAGAAAAGACGGTAAAAAACTCAATTCAAAAGATAAATAACAATTGGATATAATAATGGCAATGGCTGCCATTTTCTAAGGACATACTGTAATAATAACCAAAGTGAGCTCACATTTACTGGACATTTTCTGTGTATCAGTGTCTGTGCCAAGTTATTTTCCAAATTATATCCCATTTAATCCCAGTAATCCTGCAAGGTTGATATTATTATTGCCATTATATAAAAGAAGAAATGAGGCTCAGAATTCTACAGTCATATGGAGGCAGAGATGCTCTTTTCACTCATGACTCTCTTTCCTGAAATAGAGACAGAGTATCTCTCCCAGGCCAAGTCACCATGGGAAGATGCCGTAGCTCAGTCTCACCAGTTTGCAATCTGCATCCACACTTAGGTATGAAGAGGAAAGTAATCAATTCCACAAGCTCTGGAGAACGTAACTGTGTCTCAGGCACAGCATTGGGGGCTGGAATCAGAAGTGAATATCATGGTCCCTCTCTCCTCAAGGCACTCTCTGCCTAGTCAAGGAGCAGACACATGATAAATACCAACACCAGTCCAGAGACCATTCCAATAGGAAGAAGGAGCTTGGGGAAGGTGACCCACAAGCTGGTTGGACATTGGAAGTTGAGAAGGAATTTCAAATAGCAAGTTACTTCCTGAACAATATTTTGGAGTTATGAAAGTCCAGAATTTCTCTGGACATAGTGAAATAGTTTGGTGTAAGAGAGAAAGGTGTACCTAGAGTGCTTGGTTGGAATCCAATACTGAAGGACCTTTCCTGCTATGTTAATTTGTAATTTGAGTTTCATTTAGTAAGCAATGGGACACTACCAAATAAATATGTGATTTATAACTTGGTTTTCACAGCAAAGTTTAAAAATATTTTTAATTGTGGTAAAATATATGTAACATAAAATTTATCTTAAATAAATCATTTAACATGTAACATAAAATTAAAATTTATCTTAAGTCATTTACCATAAACATTAAATTTATCATCTTAACCATTTTTAAATGTACAATTTGGTGGTATTAAGAAACTCCTTCCCCAAAGGAGTTCTATAATCTGTTGGAAAGGTACATTCATTTTGTACAGCCATCACCACCATCCATGTCCAGAACTTTTCCTCATCCCACACTGGGACTCTGTACCCACTAAATAATAACTCCCTATTCCTTTCTTTCCCCACCCACTGGTAACCACCATCTACTTTCTGTGTCTATAAATGTGACTATTCTAGATACCTCATATAAGTGGAATTGTACAATATTTGTCTTTTGTGCAACCAAAATTTTAAAGCAGGGGAGTGACACCATCAGACCAGATTTAGAACGATCAATGACTGCAAGATCTTAAAGCAGAAATTAAAGCATGACAGCCCCCACTGCTCAAACTTTTCAGTGACAACTCGGTAAAATTGAGTTGAATAAAATCCAGACTCTTCACACCATGGCCTATAAGATTCTGTATAAATTGTATCCCCCTCCTTTTTTTTGAGATGGAGTCTTGCTCTGTTGCCAGTCTGGAGTACAGTGGCGTGATCTCTGTTCCCTGCAACCTCCATCTCCTGAGTTCAAGCAATTCTCCTGCCTCAGCCTCCTGAGTGCCTGAGACTACAGGCGCACACCACCATGCCCAGTTAATTTTTGTAGTATCAGTAGAGATGGTGTTTCACCATGTTAGCTAGGAAGGTCTCGATCTCTTGACCTCGTGATCCACCTGCCTCAGCCTCCCAAAGTGCTGGGATTACAGGCATGAGCCACTGTACCCAGTCTCTTTTTTTCTTTTCTTTTCTTCTTTTTTTTTTTCTTTTGAGATGGAGTCTCACTCTTCACCCAGACTGGAGTGCAGTGCACGATCTTGGCTCATTGCAACCTCCACCTCCCAGGTTCAAGTGATTCTCCTGCCTCAGCCTCCTGAGTAGCTGAAATTACAGGTGTGTACCGCTATGCGCAGCTAATTTTTTTTGTATTTTTAGTAGAGACGGGGTTTCACCATGTTGGCCAGTCGTGTCCCGAACTCCTGACTTCAGGCGATCCGCCTGCCTTGGCCTCCCAAAGTGCTGGGATTACAGGCGTGAGCCACTGCGCCCGGCCTTTTTTCTCATCTCCTAATACAAACTCTTGCCTTCCTTTGGAGCCCTTGCCCTGCTTGGAATTTCTTTACTCATCACTCAACAGATACTCACTGTACATTTAATATATGCCAGGCATTGCTCTTGACTCTGGGAATATAGCAGTGAACAAGCAGACAAAATTCTCTGCCCTCATAGGGTTGGCATTCCAGTGGAAGATTCTACCAACTTTTGACACAGCTGATCCATCTATTTTGGATAGAGATCTTCAGGGAGGCCTTTCCGGGATCTCGACTGGCTGGTTGTGGACTGAGGGAAGGGAGTGAAACTCTGGAGGGGGAGAAACCAGGCAGGCAGTGATTTCAGGTGGGCCAGCCCAGAAATGAAAAGGTCCTGAGCAGTGGGGCCAAGAATGTCAACACAGGGATCAGGGAAGTGGAATTGGGTAACAGAATTACAGAAGTGGCTAGAGAAGGATGTAAAGGTTTCCAGCTAGGTGGCTTACAATGTGATGAGCATTCAACACACATATTTTAAATTGGTTCCACTATTCCTCGTTGACTTGGTTCAGTTTCAGTGTTTCATGTACTGGCTGTGAGACCCAGGAGATATTAATAACCCTCTTACAGGAATTTGGCTAGGGCTGAGGGTCACATCCATAAAGCTCCTAAGAACACTGGCAAGCACTGAGTGCTCAAGAAGTATCCCTGAGGGTGATGTGCCACATGGCCACAGATTAGCAAAACATGTACCCATCTATCTGCTTCCTTAGACTGTGAGGACTGTGAGTGGCGAGAGGGCTTGTCCGCAGACTTGGAATTTCTTTCTTTTTTTTTTTTTTTGAGACCGAGTCTTGCTCTGTCACCAGGTGCCAAGCTGGAGTGCAGTGGCGCAATCTTGGCTCACTGCAACCTCCGCCTCCCATGTTCAAGCAGTTCTCCTGCCTCAGCCTCCCGAGTAGCCGAGACTACAGGTGCGTGCCACCACGCCCAGCTAATTTTTGTATTTTTAGTAGAGATAGGGTTTCACCATGTTGGCCAGGATGGTCTCGATCTCTTGACCTCATGATCCTCCCGCCTTGGCCTCCCAAAGTGCTGGGATTACACATGTGAGCCATTGTGCCCGGCCCAGACTTGGAATTTCTAACACCAGATCACCAAATATAGTCCTTGTCTGTTAAATGAATTAGCATAGATGAATAAAAGCACAGAAGGTGAATGAGTGACCCTGTCCCCAGTGAATTTATCCTTCCCTTTGCATAAACCAAATATACTCTCATCTCCTCTTCCTTGCCTACAGATCCCAGTCCATCTCGCTTTTTATACAAACTCCTGTGTTTTTCTCTTCTCATCCAGTAAAGAAACATAGGAATTAGGAGACTGCCTGAGGTGACCTGGAGCGAGTCATTTAACCTCTCCAAGCCTCAGTTTTCTGATCCATCAGACAACAGCAAGGGACTAATTATTTTCTGTAAACCTCTCCCACCTCATTGGTTTTCTCTCCCATTTGCATAGCTGTTTCTTCCTCTTCTTACACTAGGTCCATTTGCCTTCCCCTCTCGTTAAAATGACTGTGAGCCAGAATAAGAATATATATCACTTGCTATTTTATTTAGATTGAACTTTACATTTCCTATTCTCAACCTGAAAAGTAGTAATCACTACCATATATGCATTCATAGCCCCTCTTTCCCTCTTATTCCACGAATATATATTAAGAATTGACTTTCTAACAGGCTGAAAACTAGTCACTGAATAAGATGGGCTGATCCCTCCCTTAATGGATCCTTCCCTTTATGGATCAACAATCCCTTCCTTTATTGGATGCCCAGAGGTTGGGACTCTTGTCCCAGATGGAGTACCTGCAGAACTGTCATGTTCTCCACTTGATTATATGTAGATAAAAACAACAAATTCATTGGTTTTTCCATATAAAATTGAGCACTTATTTTGAGACTTTCCCTCTCCCCCACTGGATTAAATTATTATTTGATTAAATTGACTTGTTGTTTTGCATTTGTTTTGGTTAACAGTCAGTCTTAGCATGTGAGTGTGAGGTCTTTTGTCTCCTAAGTTGTCATTGTACTCATCAGGAACCTGTAATATTTTTAGGATGGCGAAGTGATATACACAGATTGGAAAATGGAAAAAGATCCTGAAACTGGCCGACATATGCGTAAGTTTTGTGATTGTCCTGTTATTACTAAGATGTTCCTTTTAATTTAAACTATCCAAGGGAATCATATGCAGTACAGAGTCACCCTGTTCTTGCTAATGGAAGGGAGGGCTCCTAAGGTACTGAATAATAAGGTGGAGGCCTTGAATAAGCAGCATAGTCGTCACCTGGGAGCTTGCTGGAAATACACATAAAAAGTCTTAGATTCTACCCCAGGCCTACTGAATCTGAATGTGGATTTTAATAAGATTTTCCAGGGTATTTGTTTTCACACCAAAATTTGAGGAGCACTGACCTATATGTTGCCTAAATGACTGAGAAACTTGAGTGATTTAATTTAAAAATAAAAAGCTGTTTCAATAATTCAATAACCTGGTAATTCATCTATATGGAAAAGCTGAGTCAATGTTAGATTATAAGCAAATGTATGATATCTAGAAGATCCCCGCCGAGTACAGGAAAAGGGACTGCAGGCTCCTCCTTTGGGGCTAGGACAGGCTGTGTCTTCTTGTCTGCTGCTCCCAGAACCTGAGTCTCTGGAGAGCTGAACAGAAGCATGTGGGTCACATCCAGGTGTGAGAAGGAACCGCAGTCGGGAGTACAGGCACCCCAATAAGGAAAGCTCCCTGTCTTTAGTAGGCTCAGAGCCTTGGGGCTCACTACAATTGTAACTACTCATTTTAAAGCTTTGAATTTTGCCATGGCGTGAAAATATATTTTAACTGTGTTTCACAGTTTGGGATAACCATAAACAAAGGAAGAGGTAGCTCCTGGGATGGTTAGGCAGACAAAGACTGGCAAGAAGGCTTCAGAACACTGTGAGGGAGCAGTGTGGTAGAGCATCTAGACTCCTTGCAGAAGGGATCTGGTCAATCATGAGAGTGGAAGTGTGAGTGACTAACAGGGGCGAGAAGTCAGAGCCACAGCTTGTAGGGGACAGCTACTGGAGCTCAGGTCTTCACCTGTCACCTCCCAGCCTCACTCCTACTGTGGTTCCAGAAATCAGAGTCTGTCTTAAGATCTGAGAAGACTGTCAGCTGTGCCTTCAGGGTAACCATTTAATCTTGCAGCCAAAATACTCCTACTTTCTTCCCTGACTAGAACCTCAAATGTGTGTTGTTGACAACAGTAGGGCATTGAGAGAGGATTAGATTTTCCACTTTCTATTCATTCCCAATTTCATGATTTAAAGCTTAATTCAAAATTAGATATTGGATATAAAGAATTACATTCAACTTCTTTTATGCTTACTTCTATATCTATGTATTCAACAATTAATGAATGTTCATTGCGCACTTACTCTAATCTAGGCATTATAGAACATGACAGCAGTCTTCACCACACCCCTGAGACACAAGCTGATGCCATGACTAGCTTGTGCACAGGGGACACTGATTCTTCGCCATCTCAGAGATTTTCTTGGGGCACCACCTCCTCCTAGACTGCCTAAACTGCTTTGGAGGGGGCCCATGACAAACAGGTTTTTAAGAAGAAACTTCTCAGAGACAGATTACCTTAACTGAGATGTGTGTGATAAGGAAGCCCAAATCAAACAAACTTTCCAGATTATCTAAGTTACAAGCCAAAATAAATGCATGCTGAATGATGGTAGTTGACATAATCATGTCAGGTACTGAACTCACAAATCGGTACATGTCATGTGCCAGGTACTTTCTATGGATAACTCGAGTAGTCCCCATAGCAGCCCTATGGGTAGCTACTGTAGGTGGCCTTGCCAAAATTTGAACACAGGCAGTTTGCTGCCAGAGTCTTTGCTCTATACTGCCTCCAGCATTAGATAATGACTCTGAAAAATGGCTTTCTCATTTATTGTAATTTGTTTATAATAACCTGGCCTGGAGGCTCTGGCAGTCCATTTAATAATTTAAGGACAGCTCCATTCATTGATAAATGACACTAAGGTCTTTCAAAGGAAAAAAGAATAGAAAAATTTTTATGGGCTGAGAACATCTAATGTTATTTTAAAGTGCAAACCTTACAATTGTCAACATCACTATCATTGGTCATCATTTCAGTCCTTAGAGGGCCCTGCTCTGTGGAGTGAGGTGGTGTCTAGGGAAGCTCACTAACGCAGAGGACAGACCCAGGCTCTGAGAAACAGGAGCAGCAGCAAGAAGAAAGCTGCTAGTTTCTAGGGGTCTTGGGCCTCACCAGGAATCTTCTAGATCACTTCAAGATGGCCTCAGAAGTGTGTCTTCTGTGCTCTCTTTAAGTAAGGGGTTTGGTTGGAAAAAATTCACCTTTTTTTTTTTTTTAATCCAGAAAAGCTACGTTTAAATTTTTACTTATTTTTACTTAAAAAATGTTTTAACTGTGGTAAAATACACATAAGCATAAAACTTACCATCTTAACCAATTTCAAAAGTATAGTTCAGTGGTATTAAGTACATTCATGTTGTGCAATCAATCTCTAGAATTCTGTTCTTCTTGCAAAATGGAAACTCCGTACCTACTACATACTAACTCCTCATTTGTCCCTTCCCCCAGCCCTTGGCAACCATCATTCTACTTTCTGTTTCTATGAATTCAACTACCCTAGAACCATGCAGTATTTGTCTTGTGACTGGGTTATTTCATTTAGCATAATGTCCTCAAGCTTTATACATGTTGTAGAATGGATCAGAATTTCCTTCCCTTTCAGGACTGAATACCATTCCATTGTATGTGTAACTACATTTTGCTTATCCATTCATCCCTCAATGGATACTTGGATTCCTTCTACATTTTGGCTATTGTGAATAATGCTACTTTGAACTTGAGTGGAAAAATACTTGTTTAAAACCCTACTTTATGAGCTTCTTATAAGATTTAGTACATCTTTTTCTGCCTAATATGCCATGAGTGTTCTGGGGGGAAGTACCCCATCTCTCACATAGCAATTAATATGATAAAATTCAGAAGACATTAGTATAAAGTGGTTAGACATTGTGGTTTGGCCTTGACAGGCATATGTTTTTATGGTTATCCCTGGGGCATAGGGTTGTAGGCAACAAGAAATTTAGAGGATTCAGTTCTGCAGCCAACCCTCAGGAAGAAGAAACTCAAGCAGAATCCTGTTATCTGAGTAAAGAGACCAGAGAAGCAGGAAGACCCCGGGGGCCTGGGGCAGAAATGAACTCTTGATCTTAACATTTGAACCTATAAAGCTTCCCACTTGGAACAAATGGAAGTGCCATGGCTCTTATCAGAAACCTGGCTGTCATTCTCAGCATTTCAGCTCTGTCTTCAAGCTGTCTCCAAGTCCTGTCAATTCTAGTTCACAAATATTTCTTCTTCTCCATTGCACCTTAGTTCACACCACCATCTCTCTCACCAGAACTGCCACTGCAGCTTCTTCTGCTTTTACCTGCCTCTAATACATTCTCCCCACAACAACCAGACTCTTTCAGAAACGTCAATCAAATTGTCTCACTTGGAGACCTAAAGGACTCATTACAGCACACGACACTTAGAGTGTAATCTGAACTCCTTTCTTGGAAGGCCCAACATGGCCTGTACCCTCCTAGTCCCCGTTTGTTTCATGTCTCACACTGAGATGACCAGGTTGCAGTCAGGGTGCCTTCCTCAAATGCATAAAAGCACTAAACACTTCTGTCCTCAGGACTTTGGTGTATGTTTCCACTGTCTGGAATGTTCCTTCACACCAAAATCTTCCTGTGTTGAACTGCTATTCAGGCCTATGTAACACATCTTCATAGAAGTCTTTTCTGACCGTTCAGTCTAAATTACAAATCCCCTTGTACTTGCAATATTTTTTCCTTTGCAACACTTTTCACAATTTTTAAATTGTATACTTTGGGATGTGTTTATTGAAATTCTATCTTTCCTACTGGACTGTAAGCTCCTTCGGGGCAGGATCATGTTTGTTTACTAACCATTGTCTACCCAGCCAGCTACAGTACCTGGTATTACATATAGGCAATCTATAAATATTTATTGACTAATTGAGTTAATTAATAAATGAGTAAATGAATAACACAAAGTATTCCTTTGAGCTTGAAAAGTGACCTTGATTGGATATTCCCTGGAGAATCCATAATAAGAGAAGCAACCATCCCCTGACAGATCTGTTCACCCCAGCTGGCCTCTAGTTCTCTACTCCTGGACCCCATTCATGGGGCTCTGTCTGTCCATTGGAGGTCTTTCCATTCTTCACTGTGCTAATGCAAACAGTGTTATTAAAGATGAGATGGCCTTCTTTCTCCAACAGCAAAGAAGCCAGTGAGCATCCACACCATTCATGATGGAACTGTCCACACTATTCAGAGATCACCTTTCTACAATGACATTATTCTCACAGTTGGAGGGTGGAACGTGGCCATATGGAAAGAAGGTGTCATGGTAAGTTGCCTGCAAAATGGAGGTGTGGGTATGTGGTCCTTTGTTATTGAGAAAGACAAGAGGAACTGTTATGTTCTGACAAAAATGCCTTTGGGACACTTTTTAGAGAATTAGAACAGATGGCCAGGGCTCCAGCTTGTCAGGAAAACCACTGTAATCCTTTTGAAAACACATTTGTTTGTTTTTCCTTCCTGAGGGAAGAAAACAATTTAAAAGCTCCTTGTTCTCCAAAACTTAACAGTCTTGGAATATCTACTGTGGGCATTTTTGGGGGTTGGGGGCTAGGGTCTCACTTTGTTGCCCAGGCTGGAATGCAGTGGGTGATCCTGCTCACTGCAGCCTCGACTTCCCAGGCTCGACTTCCCATCTCAGTCTCCTGAGTAGCTGGGATGACAGGTGCACGCCACCATGCCTGGCTAATTTTTTTTTTTTTAATAGAAACAAGGGTTTCACCATGTTGCCCAGGCTGCTCTCAAACTTCTGGGCTCAAGTGATTCACTTGCCTCAGCCTCCCAAAGTGCTGGGATTATAGGTGTGAGCCACCGCACCTGGCCTTGACTTGCATTTTTTCCTCTCTTGAAAATACAAGATGGGATGCCTAAATCTGTATGAAGTGCAAGGAGAAACACTGGGTTTGTCATCTTTCCCTTTGCACCAGGAATATGTTAGCAGGTTCAGAAAGTGGGAGTGAGTAAGCTGAGGGTCCGTCAGCAGGCAGACCCTCGCCTGTCCAGAGACATACAGTGGTTAAAGGGAGGCAGCAAGAGTGTGGTAAGGATTGGGAGAGGGGCTGGATACAGGCAGATAGGAGATAAACTACCAAAAACTAGAAAGACTGATAAACTCCAGTGAGGCAAGGGTGTGGGGAAATTAGTATGTTTGGTGGGATTATAAATTGACATGTCTCTTTGGTGAGCAATTTGAGATTATCAAAACCTGAAACTATATATACGTATATATGCATATAATGAAATTATACACAAACACATATATATTTCAAAGTTGGTATACATATATATGTATATAAATATATATATATTTAACCTAACAGTTCCACTTCTGAAACTCTGACACATACAAATACTCAAAAACTGTATATTTATCACTGAAAAGAATTTAGAAACTACTTAAATGGCCATCAACAAAAGAACTTCTGCTTTATACCAGTGTACTTCTGTATGTTTGATTTTTTTTTTTTCAATTAGCAAGTTTTGTAGTTAAAGGAAATTCAGGCATGATTGTCCAAAGACTATGCCAGGGTCAGGAATCTGATTATAGAAACTCAAGGTGCTGGGAGAAGTAGACAAAGAGAACAAGTTTGAAATGTCGCCTCCAAGGAGTCCATGAATCTGCAGCATTCTTTCTTCACAGGAAAATCTCTCCTACATGTATTGGAGAGTGAGAGGTAGCTCCATGGTTTAGTTTAGTCTCTGCAGATGTAAGTAGGGAAAGGAGCACCCCTGGTCAATAGATGAAGCCTGAAGTGGGTAGAAAGCACATTCTGTTATCACTTTTGAAAACTTCCCTAAGAAGGCAGATTACCCCATGGTAGAAAAAAGAGAAGATGATTGCATGATGCTTAGATGGTCTAAAATCTCTTCCTATTGTATTTATAGGCTATCAACTGCTTCCATCTGAAGTCACTTTATATGAGAATTTGCCAATTCTGTTGTTGATTTTCAACATGCAGTACCTAGCTGGAACTGTCAGACTTTTCATTTGTTTTACTGTCTACTGTTTACTGAGCTGTTTCCATGGGATATACATATCTGAGAGCAAAATAAAGGCATAAGCAGAATGTCTTTATAATCTTTACTTATCTAATGTTCACCAATCTCCACAGAAATAGTCGTGAGGTTAGAAGCAGTAGTGGGTTTAGAAGCAGGATTATTAGAAACTTCAACAACTTAATTGGAAGGTTTAATCTTTTCTGAAGAACAACTAAAAATGGCTTGTGAAAACAGAATGAAAATCTGGTATTATAGAAAAACCCTACAACAAATAAAAGTAAGACTTCCTAGTGGCCATAATTTTGTTGTTAGATGATGATAGCCAGCTTGAGTTGTACTTAACGTACATTATGGTGAATTTCCCTCAGATAATAACAAAGTCTTTTTTGTTTTTTAAAAAATTTGTTTAAAGACTGGACCCCTCCTTCAGTCATGCTGTGCACCAAAAATGTACACCTCAGGCCACTGGTCCCTGACTCGGCCCGGAGTTTTCTATATCGGCCGAGAAGATGGATATATTGACATCTGGGACCTTCTGGAGAAAACCCATGAACCAGCCCAGTCTCAAAACATTTGCATAACTATGATCACCTACATCAAACCCTGGATCTTTTCTGGTATGTTAATTCTAATTAAATAAGCTAGGTCATTTTGGGTAACTCGGGAACATCTTGACATTCATCTGAAAAGCCTCCAATGTTTCTTAGTTTTTTGTTTTTCTTCATGCCCCATCCCTTTTTATCCCTTCCGTTCTCTTCTCTCCTTTTCATTTTTCTCTCTTCCCTTTCCTTCCTATCTTTCCTTTTCCTTTTTCCTCTCTCTTGCTTTCAAACCTTGGACACAACCTGAGCTCTTGTCACTGTATTGCCTCATCAAGAATGATGTTTGAGACATATGTCAGGCAGAGGCTGGTTTTGAACCACACAGTGGGAAACATCTTTCTCCTTCTCTGGGCAGTCAGGGTGAGCCCTAGATCTTTGTTCTCTTTTGCTGATTTTCTTCCCAGATAGAATAAATTTTGAGTCTTTAATTTTCATTACAAGTTATACTTTTCAGTATTATATCACTTTTGTGATTCTCCCCTAGCCAATGTCAAGCAGTTCTCTTCATGAGATAAAATGATTATCTGGGGTTATATATCTATTTAAGCTTTAACCTTTGAAACAATTATGAGAAAAAGTAATATACAACAAAGCAAGCATAAATTCAAGGATGTGTCTATAGAAACATGGTGTATGTCCTTTGTCTCCATTTTTTTTTTCTGTTTCGCCCAAGTAGTAATTTCCATGTATATCCAGTATGTTTGCCTCTTTTATTTTATTTATTTATTTATTTTGCAATGAGGTCTTACTCTGTTGCCCAGGCTGAAGTGCAATGGTGTGATCAATTCTCCTGCCTCAGCCTCCCAAAGTTCTGGGATTATAGGGGTGAGCCACTGTAAAAAGCCAACAGCCTTTTTTTAAAAGAAGTTTCCCTTTGTTTCCAAAGGTGGGCAGGCATGAAATTATCTTTCTATCCATTTCTCAGAAACATTAGATTTAGAAACTCAGTCTTCAGCATCTCGAGTGTCACAGTCAGACTACTGCTTAGCCATATGTGCCACCAAAGTATCTTTTCCCTCTTTGGTGTAAAACATTGTCTTTGTACACCTACAGGGATTATGAGACCAGGATTTTGCAATTTGAAGGAGACCTACTAAAAATGAAAAGAACACACACACAATGAGATTAGAAAATTAAAATTCAGGCTGGGCATGGTGGTTCACACCTCTAATCCCAGCACTTTGGGAGGCTGAGTGAGGCGGGAAGATTGCTTAAGTCCAGGAGTTTAAGTAAGACCAGCCTGAGCAACATGGCAAGACCCTGTCTCTACAAAAAATACAAAACAAAAATTAGACAGGCATGGTACTGTGCACCTGTAGCCCCAGCTACTCAGGAAGCTGAGGTAGGATAGTTGATTAAGCCTGAGAGATTGAAGCTGTAGCGAGCCATGATCATACCACTGCATTCTAGCCTGGGCCACAGAGAGAGAACCTGTCTCATTAAAAAAAAAAAGAAGAAGAAGAAGAAGAAAGAAGAAGATTAAAATTCTCAAGCATTTTGCATATTATACCCATTTTAAATGCTCAAAGGACGCTACTTTTTACAATAAGACCTGTGGTTCTGGCTATATCTTTGAAATTCTTCTGGATAATAATAGTACCCTTTAGTCCTTTCTGTGTTTGGTGAAAATCAACTTCGTGACTTTTCTTTGAAAATCTTTCCATGTGTTCTCCCTGCTTTCTTCTCAAGAATGCCCAGTGGGCCCAGCCACAGAGAGTGTCAGCTTTTAGCCAGGAGCCACATTCCTTAGACAGTCACCAGAAATACAAGATTTGAGGCAGCAGGGAGACCGACAAAGGCTCAGTCTTAGCTTTCGTTTCATCAACTGGAAAAAATGACTTGTACATGTTTACATCGTCCAACCATGAACATCTGATGAAAATGCCAAGATCACTGGAACCACAGTGGGTCCTTTGGGAGAACACAAAACAAACACACATTTCATGTTTAACTGCTTAAGATGGTTTTCTGTTTGCTGATTTTTTTCCTTTATTTTAAATCTTTCAGCTAAACAGCAATTTATAGCCATAGCTGATTATTATGGAACACTGCATATATTAGAAATTCCTTGGACATTAAGTCGCCCTTCCACCAATGAGGTGAGTAACTTATGGCTTAGAGAATTAATGTGACCAGGTATTTCTAAGATACGTCTTTAGAAAAAATTTAGAAATGACAGCATTTTTGCTCTATTAGGGAACAAAAGACTCATACAGTAAATAGGAGGAGGTAATTTCTGTTGTGTGAGTTAAATAGTTTGAAGCTTAAAAAAAAAAGCCCCAAACATGAGATGGGAGGGAAACCATGTAAATGAAGTCCAGAGTCTGAGAGAATAATAACTTGGGGATTCATAATCATAAAATGTCATTTTTCCATTGTAACCGAAGTATGGGACACTTATTTCAGTGATACCCTTCCCTGAGGGCCCAGTTGACATGTTCATGCATCTCATCATCACTCACCCCTACTGGCTCCCAACCCAACTTGGAGTAGAGCAGGCAGCACATCTGAGCTGGTGGCATTCTGCACCCCCAACCTTGTATCCACCACTCAAGTGTTTCAATATTAATAATGAGCTTTAAAAAGATCAATGAATGGAAATCTATAAATGTATGTACAACAAACATTAAACATATAGATTGCAGTCTGCTGCAAGTCCCAACATTGATCTAATTACTGGCAGGCAAAAGGCTCTCTCTCACCTGGTTGCTTTCCCCAAGGTCTCTGCTGACTTTTCTGCTTCTATTCTATGCCTACATGTTAAGACTTCCAGGGATCAGGAACCCAGCTCTGCTTCCAGTCCCTTTAGGATCTGCATTGATATCCTCATCTGGGTTTTCCAAGTTTGACTGATGATATGAAACTTCCCTCAGTTTTAGAAGAAGGAAGAAACAGGGAAAAACGCAACCTCTGAATATTTCTACTACAAAGTTGCAGCTTTTTGCAGCTCTCTCCTTCCAACCCTAGTTTAGAAACCTCCAAGGCACAGAGCCCTAAATGTTAGCACAGTAGCCCCTGAATTGTGCTAACTCCTCTGGTAGGGGGCCTGTGAGTACGATTTCCAAATTATATTTACCTAAGAGATTTAAAGTACCACAAAATAGATAACCTACATAGTGATTAGGCAGATGATCATTAGGTAATGATCTAGTAGATTAGGGAGGTAGATTAGGTAGGTCGTCTATGTAATTATAAGTGTAAGGTTTATTTTTTGTAAGGTTTATTGCTGAGTTTAAAATGAGGAAACAGGCCTGCATGAGAACAATTAGACACCAATTTACTTGGCTCCCGGGCAAGGTTCCATGGTTCCGGGGAAAGAGGCCAGGGAAGGCACGCTTGACTCCGCTTAGGCGTGGGGTTATCTAGGAAGGGAAGGCGCTCTGATTGGCTGTGGGGAAACAGGACGTGGAGGTGGCAAGCTGCTATAGTTAGGTAGGCGGGATTTCCGGTGAGCGGGCTGGATAGGGCAATACACTATTGGGCAGGTTTTGGCGGGGCTTGTTTTAAATTTTGGCCGGGTTTTCCAACGGCTGGCTAGGTGCCGAGTGCAGAGTTTAGTGTCGAGTGCAGATCCTGGTGCTGAGTGCAGAGGGGATTTTCAACGGCGGGCCAGGTGCCAAGTTCAGAGTTTAGTGTTGAGTGCAGAGGTGGGTGTGGCGAAGCTAGATACTGAGTGCGGATTCTGGTGAGGTAGTGTCAGGCGTGGAGAGAGATCAGTGTGTCTGAGCTCCCTAAGCAGCAGAAATTCTAACAGAGCCTTATAAATGTCATGGGGGCTTCCTGCAGGCCACCCTCTCACGAGCCTCTGTTTCTAACAGATGACAAGTGTTAATTACTACTTCGAAAGAGAAGTCAAGCATCTGGAATATGTAGAACAACGCAAAAATATTCGTGAGCAAGAAAAGAAAGAAATGGAACTAGAAATGGAGAAGAAAAAAATTGTAAGTTACATTTCAGAAATGAAAGATGTTTTTCTCAAACACCAGTGAAAATATATTTGTTTGGCTTAATCCACAGTTATACTTTTTCATGTTCTTCTCTTGTTCTCATGAGAGTGAAGAGGGCATTTCTTTGATTTCCTAGCTCACTATGAGTGAGAACTGGCAGTTAGATACCTAGTGAGATTCAGTCCAATTTAAATTTCTGAAATTTTCTATAATTTCAAAGTCCTTTAGTACAGATACGTTAATTCAAAATTTGAATGCTTTCATTATAAAATTTTAATATCCGGCAAATAATACATTAAAGAAGGTAGTGCAAAGAGAGTTGAATGTGAATCAAGACATGTGGGCTCAAATCCCAACTCTGCATTTGCTAGCTATGAGATTTGGAGCAAGGCTGAGCTTCAGGTCTTTTATCTTGAAAACAGGAATACTAATAACTGGGATTACTGTAAGGCTGTCAGTTAAAGAATGTGAAAAATAAACTTTCAGTAAATAGAGCTATTATAAGGCCAGGTGCGGTGGCTCACACCTATAATCCCAGCACTTTGAGAGGCTGAGGCAGGCAGGTCGTGAGGTCAGGAGTTTGAGACCAGCATGGCCAATATGGTGAAACCCTGTCTCTGCTAAAAAATACAAAAATTAGCCGGGCGTGATGGTGCCCACCTGTAGTCTCAGCTACTCAGGAGGCTGAGGCAGGAGAATGGCTGGAACTTGAGAGGCGGAGGTTGCAGTGAGCTGAGATCGTGCCACTGCATTCCAGCCTGGGTGACAGAGCAAGACTCCATCTCAAAAAAAAAAAAAAAAAAAAAATAGAGCTATTATAATGATAGAAGATAGATTAGCTAGATGATTGATAGATAATAGGTAGATGATAGATATGAGGGGGTGGAGAGAGGTGAATTTTGCTGTATATAATATACTGAAGCTATGAAACTTGAATAGAGAATTTGGTATAGGGCACATCCATCTTAAACTCTGCCAAAAAGAACCTAAGCTCTTAAGCACCCCATGCTATTCTTTCTCGGCTTCTCCCTGTTTGATATGAATTCTGTGACTCTGCTGGTCTTCCCTTGCCCACTGGACTTTGGGGCTTTTAAATACTCTGTGAATTAGGCTCTTCTCTCTTTCTCACTTGAGAAAACCTCAGTCTCAATTTCTGTTTCCCCCTTGCTCCCTCTCGCTTTTGCTCTGTTGTCACCAGTATTTCATCATTGATCCTATCTGTAGGTTCCTTATAGCCAAATACATACATCCTCAAACACAATTATTCACGAGGCCCACAGTCTCAAAAGCACTAGCATGTGGAAGTATTATAATGTGCTGCATTAGCAAATATGTAGAACAATGCAAAAATATTGATTTTTTCAATGATTACATTCAAAATATTGAATGTAATCATATTACATTATCATTTGTTGATACTAATTAATGCAATAAAAGCAGAGGATCTCATTTCAAAAACATGTTTAGTGACAAAGTATAAAAGAATGTCAATTAACGTTTCATTGAGTTCCACTGCTATAAACAAATTGATCTTAGTTTTGTTCTTTTGCACACTTAACAAAAGTTGGTTTGTTGAGATTCTATTGTGGGAGATAATCTGCCACCCTTCCCCTACCCCAGCAATTATCCATGATCATTATGAGTGTTTAAATACCATGGCAACAGCTCCTAATTATCTACATCAGTGGGAGCAACTAGAATTGTGGATAATCCAAAAATAATTTGCATGTGAAATACTTTTCAAACACCTGCATATTATAATAATTTCTTAAATTGTATTATACTTTTCAATTTCCAAAACATTCCCAACTTTTTGTAACTTCTTTTTTATTTGAAATAGTGCCTTTTTCAAAGGCCTTCATTTCTATTTGAAATAGTGCCTCTCTTTTAAGTAGAGCCACCACTTCTCAAATTTTCTCTGGAACTACTGATATATTATGGATATGTGAATGAACTTAAAAGGGTTCCTCTGTTACATTTAGAACATGAAAAAGTCACTAAGGAAGAACAACTAATGTTAGTCAGAAATGTATTCTTATAAGCAACTGATGATAAAGGGGGAAATGGGAACAGTAACAACCTCAGAAGATTGCAGTGGGGATTAAAAGAGTTAAAATATTTACAGCACTTAGCCACTAACTGGCACATAGAAAGTGTTCACACGTTTGTCCAGCAAGGCTGGCCTTTATGAGTGCTCACCAGGTTCCAGGATAAGGCTGTACATAACAGTTCAACACAGATTTCAGGAAAATCATGCACCTGTCTCTTTGCAAACATAAAATCTGGATACAGCTCACTCCTCAAAGGATAATAATAATCACTGCTCTAATCGCATATGAAATGGGAGTTTTCCTAACCAGAATTTCAGCTGGAGACTCAGCCTGGGGAGACTAGTCATTGCCATGTGATCCACAAGCTCTGCCATCTATATGGGACTTAGAAGAGGGAGATTTCAAAAGAATTCTGCAACCTCTAGGATATTAGTCACCCTCCAGTCTACATAAGGGAAATAAGAGTTACAGGAAAAAAGACTGAAAGAAGGGACTGAGAGAGAGAATGGGGTTGGAGGGCCATATTTCTCCCACTTCCTCCTTTCCCAGCACATGTGACTGCCTCCCACCCACCTGCCCTCCTGCCTTCCTGCCCTCCATCCAACCCTTTCAAGAAACAGCAGCCAGGTCAAATATTCACAAACAGCCCTTTCTCATCCTTTGGTATTTTTAGATATCAGTGTTTTATAGGGATGTCTTGTTTCCCACCCCCCCTAGAAAACGTATCAGAAGTCAAAAGAACAAATGGAGGCTGAATTAAAAATGGACTACGAGAGTTATCTGGAACTGGAAAAGACCGTTCTTATCAACCTTGGCCTTCTGAAAGTCACAGAGAAGGGGTCATACATGGATGTAGTGTGAAAAAGCTTCCTGAAGGGGTTTTGGGGACTTCTTTCCTCTTTTTATTTATTATTTTTATGTCAGGTGAACTGGCAAGCTGAATATATATGTATATGTATGTATATATACACACATATGTGTGTGTGTGTATATATATATATACATGTATATATATCATGGCTTATTTATAATTATAGACTTTTATTTCTCTGCTATTAAAACTTGTGAATTTTAACAATGAGATCTATTTCAATTTTTGTGCTGAATATATATTGGATTTTGTACTGAATATGAAAGTGTTCTGTTTTAATGAATGTTTTCAATAACAAAATTTTTATTTTCCTGTAATAGAGAACTTTGGACGTCCCTTCCATCCCAATCCTTGCCGTTCACACAGAGGCCTTCATACCAGGCAGAAGGGGAAATCAAACTGCTCCTACTTATTAGCTTGCTTCTGGCCACCTTTCCAAGAAAAGTACTTCCCCTGGGCCACCTACAAATTGTAGGGCTGTATGCTAAACAAAATATTAGCAAATCAAATCCAGAAATATATGTATATGTATATGTATATATATATATATATTTTTTTTTTAAGAGGTTAACACATGAAGACCAAATTGGGTTTATCCAAGGAAGATAAAGTTAATTTAAGAGTAGAAAATAAATCAGTGACTAATCAAAAGAGAGAAATTATGATGACAAGTAGATGAGAAAAACATTTTATAAAAGTTGATATCCATTCATGATAATAACAATATGATATTATCTACAGAAAGAATTCCCTTAATCTGATAAAGGGCGTGTAAAACAATACTACACCAAACATCATACTTCATGGTGACAAGCAGAAAGCTTTCCTCTGAGATGTGGAACAAAACACAGGGCATTCCATCAGGTTCCTAACATCACGTACTGCTGTTGCCTTTTTGTGCCTTTGCTGGTTAAGTCTAGCATAGGCACCAACAAGCAATAACAGTGTATGAAACTGAGATGCAGAAGAGCTAGTAGCCAGATTATGAAGGTTCTTGTATACCAAGCTAAGGGAGCTGGATTATAATTTATGGGGAATGGATAGAAGAACCAATCAGGAAGTGACCCAATCAGCTTTACTTTTAGGAAGTAAGAAATAAACTAGAGCGGGGTAGAGTCTCATGGCAAGAAATCCTATTAAGAGGCAAGAGGAATTGTTCAAGGCAAAGGACCAGGATGCCCTGTACTAAAGCTTAACATGAAGATAAAAGTGAAAGGCTGGTTGGATGGGGAAGGGAGGACAAAGGATAATACCAAGGTTTATAGGTTAGATTGCTAGAGGAAAGAAAACTTTGAGGTCAGATAGGTGTTAGCACTTAACCACCTGTGTGCCCTTGAACAGATGACCGAGCTCTGTGAAACAGATTCCTCCCCTTCCATCGAGTCAGGTTTAGAGAACTTACCTTGCAGCATTTATGTAAAGGGGAAATGAGCACCTGCAGATAAGGGGCCTGTGCCTGGCATATATTTTTGTCATCATGATTGGAATATCCCAGTGCTCATCCTTACACATCAGCTTATTTTATTCTTCCTTTTTTCTACACTCACTTCCTAGGTGCATTCATCCACTCACTCTCAAGGCTTTAAATACTACCTCTGTCCCTGACCTGGACTTCTTTCTAAAATCAAGAGGTATATCTATTTGACTTTTTGTATCTCCACTTGGATATGTAATAGGTATCTCAAACTTAAACATGTCCAAAATTGAGTGCTTGATGTTTCACTCCAAAACCCATTCCTCCAGCAGTCCTCCCAGCCACCATGCTGCTTGAGGCAAAAGGCCATCTTTCGTCTTCTTTCTCTCACAATCCACTTCCAATCTGTTGGCAAGCCCTGTTGACTACACGTTCAGAATGTATCCAGAACCTGATCACTTCTCTTCTCCCTTGCTGCTCCACCATGGTCCAAGCTGCATCATCACCAGCTTGGATTTTGCAGCAGCCTACTATTCTCCCTGCTTCCATGTTGTCATTTTCAGTGTCTTTTAGCCACAGCCAGATGGTAGTTTTAAATGGATGCTGTAAGATGCTGTCATCCTTCTGCCCAGAGTCCTTCTTCAGCCTCATAGCTCACTCAGAGTATGAGCCCAGCACCTGTCTGTCCCCTGCAAGCCCTTGTGTAGGCAGGCTCTCCATTGTCACCAGGTCTTATTCCTCCTTCCTCTCCCCTCCATCACACCCGTCCCAGTCATGCTGGCCACCTATTCACCAAATATGCCAGGCATCATCCTCTCCCTGGGCATCTGTGCTTGCTGTTCTGTACTTTCTCCAGAGATTTTTTAAATTTTATTTTCACGAGTTCACTCTAAAAAATGGTTTTGTTTGTTTGTTTGTTTGTTTGTTTTAGAAACAGGGTCTCACCCAGTCGCACAGACTGGAGTGCATTGTTACAATCATAGCTCACTGCAGCCTCAAGCTATCAGGCTTAAGCAATCCTCTTGCCTCAGCCTCCCAAGTAGCTAGGACTATAGACACGCACCACCACACCTAACTTTAAATAAATATATTGAGTGCCTTCTATGTGCCAGGGTCTACCATTTTAAACAGGATGGTCAGGGAAGGTGACACTTGAGCAAAGGCCTGAAAGGCATGAGGGGTTTCGCCTGTAGTCTTCTAGAAGTGCGTTCCATAACCCAGTCTCTCTCCCTTCAGTGAAAAGAAGCTGAGACTACAACAACAGGAGTGTCATGACTCATAAACTGTGACCGGAGGCTGAGCACATTGTTGTCCCAAATAAAAGCACAGTGTGTCAGCACAGAGGACTGGAGTAATGGATATTGAGTAAGTGTCTGCCTTAGGGTTAGCAAATAAAAAGCTTAGTATGGTGGCTAGCATATGGCAAGCAGTAAATATGTTTTTCCTAATTTACAAATACAAAATGATTGTAACATTCTTGCTATAGAATCTAAACATGGGGCCTCTTATGCTTATGATAGCAGTTATCAATTCAGTGTGAGATTTTGTCTTTTTTTCTTATTTTTTGAGAGGGAGTCTTGCTCTGTCGCCCAGGCTGGAGTGCGGTGGTGTGATATCAGCTCACTGCAGCCTCTACCTCCTGGGTTCAAGTGATTCCCCTGCTTCAGCCTCCTGAATAGCTGGTACTACAGGCACGTGCCACCATACGCAGCTAATTTTTGTATTTTTAGTAGAGACAGTTTCACCATGTTGGCCAAACCAGTCTTGAACTCCTGATCTCAAGTGATTTGCCCACCTCGGCCTCCCAAAGTGCTGGGATTACAGGCGTGAGCCACTGAGCCCAGCCCTGGTGTAATATTTTCATTGTGTGTTTATAACCTCAGTTTTCCTGAGTCTCATCTCCTGTGGCCACCAAGAGGTCACATAAGCAGCCATAGCCCAGATTTCATGGGACCTTGCCCCACTTGCTTCTCAGGTATTTCAGCCTTCTGCAGAGTGCTCCCAAGTGTGTCCAGTGGCCCTGGACACACATATAGTTCAAAACAAGCCCACAACCACCCAGCACTCAGGGCTCCCTTCTCTCAAAATGCTAGAGCTGCCTAATAGCCTGTAACATGGGGAAAGGTGCTGGGACAATGCTTCTGGGTTAGTTCAAGTTCAGTGAGAAGCAAACACCAAGGCAGAGACAGAGGTGTAAGAGATTCACGGAGGGAGAGAGCAGAGAAGCAAGGGAGAGCCGTCAGAGCTCATGCAGGTCTGGTACCTGTGGAAGGAAAGGAGAAAAGACAGAGGATGATAGTATTCATCTCAGACCACTCAGCAGGGTTTAATTATTCACGATACCTCTGTTTGTCACTAAGTCTTTGAAACAGACAAACTCATAGTGATGTTTCTATGTCTCTTCCTTCTCTGGGATGAGTTCTCTCTGAGGCTCTTCAACCCCTCAAGCTAGGGTCCTTTTGTTTGGCCCAGACCTCCCATTTGGCAGACAAGGCCAGGCATGCTGAATCCCAGCAAGAACACAGCTGAGGCTCAAGCAACGATGCTAACCACCTATACTAAAGATGTAGGAATATCAGGTGTGAATGAAAATGGAGTTAGCTGGTGTGCGTCCTTCCAATCCTCACAGCTCCAACCCTTTCCCTTACCACCCATTCTTTCCCAACTGTACTGTGAGTCAATCTGATCTCCTTCTTTTGACCTTAAGTCATTTGGTCTGGCCTACAGTGTAGTGAAAACACAGGGGTCTTTAGGTCCTGGCAGACCTGAGTCCAAATCCCAGCTTCATCACTTTGGGCAAACTGCACTGTCCCCTAAGCCTTAGATGCCTTGTCTGTAAAGTGGGGATAATAATAATACCTAGCCTACCCCATACAAAGACAATGTATATAAAGCACCTGGAATATAGTTGGCACTTAATGATTGTTGCTGCCTTTTCTTGCTTTGTCACAGGTGTATCCACGTGTGCATGCACACACACACACACACACACACACACACGCACATACACACACACGCCAGAGAAACTATAGTATTTCCTCTTTGTTCTATGTAATAATCTCTGATTTTAACATTTTTATTGCTACTAATAATAACGGAATGTTTTCCAGACTAAAATGCAACTTAAGCAGTGACTTATGCATCCCTGGTTTAATATTAGCCTTTGATCATTTTAATATGAGACCACAAGTGTTGGACATAGTATTTAACATAAATTTTAAGTAAATTTGAACAGCTTTCTTTTTTGCAGAACTGATAATGTTACTCAGAAAATTGATCATTCTAATATTTCATTAATTTAGATTAAATTTAATTATCAGTTTTACAAATTGATTTTTATCCACCAAGAAACATGTAATTAAGCCAGCATATTTTTGGGTCCTCAGATAAGCACATTGTGTGTGTGCACTTCAGATGAAAAGGCAATTAACTCTAGTGGGTGGTGGCCCAGGTGCTCTTCATGGCTTCACTAATCCAGCACTGTAAATAATTAACATCTTCTGTGCCCTTCTACCTCAGAGCACTGCCCAGAGTCGGTGCTGCTCCACTTGGTTGCTAGGTTGCCATTGCTAGGGCAGATCTGTGCAACTGAGCAAGGTCCTCACCATGGAAATTAATTATCTCAGTGAAGGGCCAATGAACCTTTGTGTGGTGAATTCCCTCCT